TTTTTTAAAAATATAAATACATTTTATAGTTTTGCAGACACACACACAAACCAAACAAACTGCAAAAATATATAATTAATGAGTGATCAAAATGGTGAAACAATAGAAACAATATGTGTTATGAGGGCTACATAAGATAGGTACTAGATGAGGATGAGCAGTCAGTTCTGATGAAATTGATATTTCCAGACGATTAATTACAGACTTTTGGACTCACTGATGTTTAAGGACACATGCAGGCAACCTTTGCTGTATATTGCTTATTCCTTGATTTATAAATGTAAAAACAAAGACTTTTTTGTTTTGTTGGTGCCGTTTGGTTATTTCCGCTGTACTTTCTGTGGATTGTCAGTTCGCAACAACAACAAAAAAACAAAAACAAAAAACAGTTTGATGGGAACCGACACGTTCCACAATTGAAAGAGCTGAAATAGTAACAATACAATGAGACTTGCAATTGTACGTGATAATTCAGTTCAAATTGGCTGCAGCAAATTCAACTATCCATAATGCGATCATCAGATTTAAGTTAAATTAAACAATTTTTTCAACCGAAAAAGAAGTGATTTCCCAGATAAACAACATGTAGAGACGACAGGAACATCAAATCTATCGTTTCATATGCTTTATCGATTTTACGTAGAAGGATCTAGTCTGCATTGCTTTATAAAGGTTTTGATGTGATTCGGACTCTTTAAACATGTTATATCAAAAACTGCTTAGTATTTTAATACTTAATAATTAAATCACCCTTATACATATACTGGCATATATATATTGGCGACGTGATTGTTAACTGAACGCCGATCATATCACAGCGCGGTGATTCTACTTATTAAGTTTTCGAATTTCTCGACAACTATTCTTAATACCTCAAGCGTCAACACGAAATAACGTAAAAAACTGTATCCACTACAATATGCTAGCATCCTCTTGCACTATCAGCATCAGAGTGTATATGAACAACGTGAGCTTGACAGGTTTTCAGGAACTAGTTTTAGGAATCGATGGCAAACAAATTCACTGCAAAATGCTATGTTTAAAACCTCAATTACGCAAAAATGCTATCCTTTAAAACTTCGCTACCACCAAATTAATGTATTTCGAACAACAAAATATAAATCCCAATTTTCTTTTAACGGAATTTTTTTGCACTTCAGTGCATTTTCATCCAGTGTGGTACTTAATTCCATTCTTGAAATGGAGCACGTCGAATGGTGAGAGAGATATCTTCAGCTATAAAAGAAGAGGGGATGAAGAGGAGAAAAGAGGGAAAAAAGCAAAGAAATAGGAAAGCAGGAGCAGGAGAGCTGACTAAGAACGGAGTACCTAGGATTCGAGCATATTACTGTTGGTTACTGCACTGCATCTCTCTGGGCTCAGTGCATGTTGCTGCTTGGGTACATTGAAAGATAACAAGGCAAACGTGTATATGCAAAAACGTCGAGAACACTGAACTGCTGATAAGAAGTGTTTTTGTGTTCCAACGTTGTTCTTCTTGATCAATGAGCAAGAGGTTAGTTGTATATTTACACGGGCTACTAAAAAAAAAAAAAAACACTCATAATTATTATTACCTGGACAGAATTCTTTCAGAACTTTCCACTTTTGCACTTCAAAACTACTAAAGTTGAATTCAGAAAAATATATATACAGCAGACGAATTTCCTATGTCTTAATAAGTCGTGGAGTCATAGACAGATGATTTCCAGGAACAAGCTAAAAAATTCGCCTCAATCGAAAACATTTGACTCAGGAATCCTAAGCGCCATGGAACCAGTCTCCCCAAGGATCAAAGCAAGAATGCACTTTCTTAAATGCTCCAAGATTAAAACATCTTTTTTCACTTTTCGTGCACTCAAAAAATCTAGTTTTTATTGTGGCTGTTTTATGGCTGTTTTGATTGTCAGAGCTGATGTCTCAAGCATACCTGTTAATAAAAGAAACATCAAAATAGAAAGCAGACTGAAGTACCAGATTATCACTTTCGATAGAAGCATGTTCTGTAAGATCCATGTGGCGGCTGTTGCTGCAAGGTACCAAAATAGACACAGTGCACTGTGGCAGTAATTGACATGGAACAAAGCATTTTTGTAAGTTTCAGCACTTGATCTTTCTGTGATAGATTAGGACACGGAACACTCACTATATAAAATAGTCAGCTGGTGAAACTTGAACGCATACAAAATAAAGCCTTGTTGGTGATTAGGGATGAATGTACCACAGAAACCCCATTAGTATGTATGCCATATACATACTTGCACTCCCTGAGTGGGTCCCGTGGCCCGATTATAGAAAAAAAAAATAGATCCACTGCCTACCGAAAAGCATGTCGTAAAAGTAGACCAATTAGGAGCATCCCTTGAAGTCGGAGTGCCTGAGAGTTAAGGAACCTACAGTCTGCATACAAATAAGTCAGATCTGTAAAAAGGATGCACAAACAACATTCAGATTCTGGAACTGGACTACAGCGCAAAGAAAAAAAAAGAGAATAGGAATAGTTACACGGCGGACTATTGTAAATGGGTTCGAAGTGTTGCATGCAAGGTCGTCCGTCATACCTCACAGTAGCTACAGACAAGAAAACACTTCTTGCACGAAGCTCTAGAGAGATCTAAAGTTCATAGACTAAAATGAGAAGGGCTGTGGATAGCGCAGGCAGAAGAAACAATTAGACGTGTGCATGGCTGAAACTGTGTGGGGACGAGAAGAGTAGGTCAGAATGGCTTAGCAATAAAAAGGCGTGCGCGGTTCTAATCACGTTGGACTGGGAGTGCGTGCCTGCCCAGCAGACGCTGCAGAATCAGAAGTCTAATAATAGATTCATGATGATTTCCGCTCAGATGCTATCATTATCTATACCGATGGTTCTGTTATTAGAGGCCAAAACAGTGCATATGGTTCATAGCAAAAGCCAATGAGCCATACTTAGTGCAACTAAGTCTGGATATGATACCTTCTAATTTAATAATGACAGCAGAGGCAGTCACTACAGCCTTCCACTGGCTTCAGAACCAGCTATGCACAGATATATTTTGTAGTAGTAACTGACCCAAAAAGCATGCTGAGAAAGGTGGGGACAGATATCTTGGTAATCTTAGTTTTAGCTTTATAGCAAACGGATCACCCTATAGTTGCCCCGCTCCTGTGCCAACGAAAAACACACAGAATGTTCATCTCAATCCCTTGTGTTAAGATTGACAGACTGCTGTCTCAGCATATGCACTAGCAAACAGACGCATTAAAAGCATACGGTAGCCATTCGAAGTGCTAACACACAAGTCCGTCATCAAAAATGCAGTTCATCATCGACGGTATCAAAAGTTACCAAAAGATCAACAGTTGCAAACGCGATCAATTTTAATTCATAAAGGCACCACCAATATTGCAACGACAGGTATCGCGCAATTTTCTGAATCTACAAATCACAACACCACGTTGGTCACAGTCGAAAAACATTCCAAATGAAATCCGCAGCTCACAGTGTCGCGCAATGCACTCAACTCAGAAGCTGGGCGACGAAACTTCATCCTTTCAGTCTTTAAATAGAGCAAAAATGCAATGGCCACTGTGGTAGAAGCAACACATTTGCCACGACTCAAAACTGTGATCGTGCCTAGCGTCCATTTTGACCGGGAGCCGGAGACAGATATGCTCCCTGCAAAGTGGTAAGTATAGCTTCAGAGTCTAGGTTCGTTAGCATCCTTCCTTTCTATATTATGTTCATGGTATGCAGGTGTGTGGGAAATGAAAGGTAGACGAGCTAGCTGAGTCTACACTACTCGGTAGTAAATTGCTACACAATAAGCTAGATGTTATCAATACTATTTGGGAGCGAGTGAACAGTGCAGAGGCACAATTAGATTATCACGGTCTGAAGAAAAGGAAGTAGTGGGGAGTGACCATGTAATTTGGCCGACACTCCACCATGAAATGAAAGGTTGCTACTGACACCGTAGGTGATGACATTCTTTACTTGGGTATGGAGCACTTATGAAAATGTCTCGAGTGCTGCGATGTCCTTCTTTAAAACTCAACTCAAGGGGATAAGAATAAAAGACCGGCTTTGCAATCGTCTGTCAGGCAATGGACAAGCGATATCTTGTTATTATTTTTTTCTAAATTCAAATTAAAAATTACAGCAGTCACCTTTAGCGAAATTACACCGATGGGTAATTAATAGACGGGGTGCTAATACACAAAACTTTCAGTTTGAATGAATATTGCAGTGTTGGTCAGAAAACGTCACCGTAGGCATTCATGCAGCGTCGAATGTTGTCGTAGAAACATTAAACCAAGTTTTTACCGCGTTTATTACGTCTGCATCTTTATGAAATCGTTGATCATTGGGGGGAAAATGCGAACATCAGATGGTAACAATTCAGGACTATAGGCTGAATATTGCAAAATGTCCCGCGTGTTTTGTGCTTACGCTCTCAGCTCAATCTTTACAACATGCGAACAAGTATTATCGTGCAACAAAATCAAACCGCGAGAGAGAATGTAGAAAACGTCTATTGTTGATGGCTTTATGGAGCTAGCCTGGTGTTCTGAGCAGTGCTTAGAACTGAAGTTGACACCAGGTTCTTTAACTAGTGTCTGCGCTAAACATAACCAGCGGAAACCTGTGACTAATTTTTTAGCCTTTGATGATCCAAAATGCTTCAATTGCTTGCTTTTTCTTTTGCAGTTCGGTTATAAGTTGCGGCACAAACTATTCGTCACCTGCCACTATGCAGAACGGAACTGCTTAACGCTCTCTAACGTAGCATGTAGTATACACACCGACCAATGCATTTCTTCTCTAAGTGGTCGGTCAGCATCCGTGGTATCAATTTAACAGCAAGATAATTCTGGTACTTTAACCAGACATTCCGAGGTACCAGGTGATCAGCATATTTATTTCAACATTCACGTCCTGATTTGCAAGATAACAATTATACATTTTTTTATTTTTCTAAAAAACAATTAGACTGCGCTTTCGTATTGAATCCTTCAACTTAACACAGTTTGTCATCAAAAAACCCTGCATTCAGAAACCAGCATGATTCTTCTGCATCATCATCTTCCAGGTCTTGTCTTTTAGCAAAGTTTAAGAATATTTGTTCAAGCGTTGTCTCTTGCACGGAGTAGCCCTCGATGTTTAAACCTTCCTTACAACTCTCTAAGAGATAGAAAACATCTGCAACATCTACTGTGCTGTCGGTTATGTGCAGGTGACAGTAGCCCTGATGATCATCAACTACCTAGAGGAATAACCGAACATGTGCATAACATTAAAATTTATCACAAAGAAGAAATGAATAACACAACTTATAACAACGTACCAGAAGAACTTATGTCTGTCACAAGACAGTTAAAAAATTGTGTGAGTGCGTGTGTGTGAGTGTGTGTGTATTTTTGTAAATTTGTGCGGGGTTAGTTTATAATGTTTAATTAAGAATCTACATCACAACACTAGGGACATTCTCAGAAGCGCCCCTTCCCCATCTTCAGCAGCAAACGCAGAGTTCGGAGTCCAATGGTACAAGTAACAGTCTGAATATATATCCGTCTGGCTTTATTCACTAACTACCAGGGACCTCTGAAGCGATGCTTGCCACACTTTACAGAGCCTACAAGTCTCCACAAGAAGGGCAGAATGTTAGACGGGCCTGCGTGCCCAATTCTTAACCCTTTAAAAAATAAAGTTTGTTCGTTCGTTCGTTCGTTTGTTCACTTTCTCAACATGCTCTGTGAGTCGGTTATAATTACAGCATGTGTGTACAACTGAATCCTAAGGCCAGTGGAAAGCTGCAGTGACTGCCTCATTCTCCACTCACAGACTAGATTTTGTGGTGTCATTTGCCAAGCTTTGCTGCACTAAGCAACTTCCATTCGCTTTGCTAATAACCCCCAAGAACTTAGTCTGACTCCCAACAAAGAGCCATCTATATAGATAACCACACTGTCTGTACCAGAATTGTCACAACTCATTTGTTGAAAGGCTGACCCTGCAGCGTCCGCTGACCAGTTAGTGCTCCCAAGGTGATCTTAACCCTACATAAGTTTGACTTTTGCCGGGACACTGACCTACTCCTTTCCTCATCCAATGTTATCAAGCCTGCACATGTCTTTTTGTGTCCCCATCTTGCGCCATCCAATACCTTCTTTTTTTCCGTCGGTGACACTTAGCTTTGTCCAGGGCTTCATGCGAGAAGTGTTTCTTATCTGCGGCTACTCTGAGATATGACTTTGCTTGTAGTACTTTGAGTCTTTCTGCAACAGCCAAACGTGTAATTATAAATCGCATACATACTACCTTGGTATCTCTGCTACACACCAGAATTACCCTCAAGATTTTATTCTGTGTTAATTTGAGTTTTATCAGCTAACTCAAGAGAGAATTGAATGCTGGAACACTGTGAACAGCAATCTTTGTTTCAAGTCCACTGCTGCCATAACCTTAAGTGCATTAAATCTTTTCTGGCATTTCGCCGCGCCTGCCTTCACATGATCCATAAAGGACAGACATCTATTGAAAGTGATTCCAAGGTACCTCAGTAAGCTTTCTCTTTTGATGTTTCTATCATTAATTGTGATACTTGGAACATCCGCTCTTACAATTCCATTGTTCAAAGAGCACTATAAGACATCCGCCGTTTCTGGGTTGATGCAGCAGCCATTTCTGCACATCTGTAAGTTACTTTGACAACAGTTGCGTGCAGTTCTTGGACTTCTTTAACCTATGGCTCCACTGCCTATATGCAAGAACATCATCTGCAAATGTCAATATTCTTCTAACCCTTGGTGTTTTGCAATCTTGCGTGCATACACATTAAGGAGCGCTGGTGAAATTGCAGAACTCTGATATAATCACGGGGAATATAAACTTTTATATAGTCTGTCCAAAAGCACAGTGAAGATCAAAATAGAGGTTAGAGAAGCAGCTGTACACACATGTTGTGATTGTACAGAGATGCGGCCGCATCCAGCGGCACTGTAAGGGGGCGGCATAAGAAGCAAAATCAAATTACGATTTAAACTTTTGATCTGAGAGCTTGATGACAGTAAGAGAGAAACATCACACCATAAGACTCTTCTTACCTGATTTAATATATCAGCAATTATATAGGCCGATCCATCCATCCATCTACCATGGCTTCTATCCACGAACATAGCCATCGTCCCACCCATTCATCTACCCACCCATTTATCCCACCACCCACCCAGCCCATCATCCACTCATTTCTGTTTTTCACCACTCCCTTTTATTCTGGCTGTTACCAGCTTTGCGCTTAGGTTCGACTAATACTTTGTATAAAAATCACCCCTAGTGTCTCTATTTGAAAGCTGACAGTAAGAGAGAAGCACTGTGTTACGAGACCCAAGCTGTTACCTCATTTCATATATAGGCCGATCCATCCGTCCATCTACCACTCCATTCATCCACAAATACAGTCATCCATCATTCCCTCCATTTTTCTACCCACCCATCTATCCCACAACACACTCAACCATTCACTCAACCATTCACTGCACCATCCACTCATACACTTTTCCCATCTGTCCTTTCATCGCTCCTTTACATCCTGGTTGTTACCAGTTTTACTCTTGGGCTCGACTGATTACTTTGTATAAAAAGCATCCTTACTGTCTCTGTTTGATAGCTTAGAGTAAGAGAGAAGCATCTTATCACGAGACCCTTGTTTTTAATATAGCCATCTGTTTTCCAATCCATTCATGTACCAAACCACTCGCCCACTCACCCCAACATCCACCCATGCTTTTTTTCCACTGCTTCCTTACATTCTGGGTTTTATCAGTTCTGTGCTCTGTTCGACTGATACTTTGTATAACAATCACCCTTGCTGTCTCTATTTCATAGCTGACATTAAGAGAGAAGCATCGTGTCATTAGACCCTTGAAATTTACCTGGTTTCATATAATGACACACATATAGGCCGATCAATCCATCCATTTTACTTTCCATCCATCCACGAGTATAGCCATCCATCATCCCATCTAGTTGTCTACCCGCCCATCTATCCCACCACCCACTCATCCATTTACCCCATCATTCTCGATCTTTCTATCTCTCTATCTCTCTATCTGTCTATCTCTCTATCTATCTATCTATCTATCTATCTATCTATCTATCTATCTATCTATCTATCTATCTATCTATCTATCTATCTATCTATCTATCTATCTATCTATCTATCTATCTATCTATCTATCTATCTATCTATCTATCTATCTATCTATCTATCTATCTATCTATCTATCTATCTATCTATCTATCTATCTATCTATCTATCTATCTATCTATCTATCTATCTATCTATCTATCTATCTATCTATCTATCTATCTATCTATCTATCTATCTATCTATCTATCTGTCTGTCTGTCTGTCTGTCTGTCTGTCTGTCTGTCTGTCTGTCTGTCTGTCTGTCTGTCTGTCTGTCTGTCTGTCTGTCTGTCTGTCTGTCTGTCTGTCTGTCTGTCTGTCTGTCTGTCTGTCTGTCTGTCTGTCTGTCTGTCTGTCTGTCTGTCTGTCGGCCTGCATGTCCGTCTGTTGGTATTTGTTCGCTAGCACAGTCACCACTTTTATTCCACGCGGAGGGACTAATGTCATCCCCACGACCCAACCCTGGTTACGCCATATTGGCCAACCCCTCCCTCTTTAGACACTCAGTGTACGCTGTTGCGACTGCTGGCGTCTACTCCGCCCATTTCCCCGGTACACTGGTCCCGTTTTTCGCTTCCCGTCCGCGCGTTGTTGATATTTAGGCAGATAGAGCATATTTGTGTATGTGTACCCCTTTATAAAAAAAAATATCCCTGGATGGTGACGATGCATAACAAGCTGGATGTCGTCGTGGCCTTTTAGGAGCTAGTAAGCAATTCTTAAGCGTCAATATATAATTATGGTGTAGAGAGAATTAGCAGGGACATAGCTAACACGCAAGGGGAAAAAAGCAAGGCGGACATACAATTTAACTGATACTGGTAACATCGGATTTCGAACTCTTCGTTGGCTGATGAAAATGAGGAGAGAGGGCATATGGGACTGGTCTGAGTGCAGTGATGTTAGTTCTCGACCCAGCTCAACACACCCCAAATCATCGTAATGTTTGCAGGCATCATTTATCCTTCTTTAAAGTATTTCGTTTTTCCTCTTCCAATCAATCTCCAAGTAAGATTTTTTGAAACACATGATGGGAAGAGCAATTATGTTTATGACTGCTTTCTTTATTCTCTGAGCAGCATATGTGTTCTCTATTTACTTAACATTTTCTCCCCCCCCCCCCCCCCCCCCCGCCCAAAATATTGCTTGATTTTGCTGGATCTATGTTAAACATCTACACTGTATTGTATCACATGTTTTATACACTGCTTGAACAATTGTGAATAGCAGTTTAGAAAATGAATGCATAATAATGAATAATGAACATAACATACTAAAGTTTTAGGTATGACTGATTGAATATACTCCACCACAGGCCCAGTTGACATGAGACCTCCATTTGGTTGTGCATCCATTTTGATAATCAGTGTATAGCCTTGTCCATATTTGTTCTTCAGATGTTGTGGGCTTCCAATACACATGAATCGTCCACTAAACAAAATGGCTAACCTTGTACACAAGGCATCACATTCCTCCATGCTGTATGAAAAAAAATATTTAAGACTAATAATTTTATCGATTTACTGCAATGTGAATAATAATGTAACAATAATTATCAATACGTTATGAAACATGTACCGAGTTTAGCAAACCGTCTATAAAACAAAATATGTAACAGTAAATTGCAAAATCCAGATAACATAATTAAAGCAAAGAAAATTTGCGCCCTATATCGCTGGTATCTATTTCTCATATAATTGCAGAGGTTACATTAGTCTAGCCAGATTCAAAAGGAGTGAATAAATACAAGAAAAGTCTGGACAACCACTAGTATAAACATTTATAATGCAGAGAAGGCGCTATACTGGAGACATTCTCAGAAGAAACTAGCAGAGAAACACCAAACAAGCATTAACATGGGACATAAATGGATTAACGTGGTAATGTGGACGTAAAAAAAACCTTAAACTAACGCTGAAGAGACAGGCCAAAGGTGCTGGACCAGATTCCATCCATGATATTGAATTGTTTGCATAGGATATGACAAAGTGGAGCCTGCGCCATCCATGATCTGCAGCTCAATAGTATGTCACCCATCCCTTACGAAGGATATGTTCTGTAGCGCTTGCAATTCTAAGATTGTACCTAGATTGGAGTATATTATATCTACCGTTCTGTAGCGCTTGCAATTCTAAGAGTGTACCTAGATTGGAGTATATCTACCGGCGATGGTCGGCATAGCGAGAATATGTCTCATACACACGAGTGGTATGTCCCGTGTGCATCACAGAATGCTTCACCTAGACTCAATCTGTATGCGTTCCAATTACTCCATCTGATTCTTTAACACGGTTAGCATCTCCTCAGGCCATATTCAACGACTGACACAACAAGACACAGACTGCGTGTGTATACAACCATTGTTCTTATCTATGGCAGCCATACCGCTTAGGATGACTGCATCGATGTAATCGTTGAAAGAGTCATATGTAAAAAAAAAAAAAATACCTGAATAATTTAGTGTTTTCTCCCTTTTAACAACTTCTCTATTTTTTATCATCCCGGAGACATCTGCTTTGACAATACTTTTGTCAAGTAAACACCATAATACTGATGCTTTGTTTGGGCTTATCAAAGATCCTGTGTCTCTACACCAATCATTGATATTATCCACCACCACTAGGACCTCTTCCGATATCGTCTTATCCCTGCCCAAAGTGGGGAGATCATCTTTAAGCTACCATTATGACGTCACCAGTTTAGTCTTCACCGTGGTGTCATGTGCTTAACACTCTTGTCATCCTTAAAAATACTTTTTGACAGGTTACGAGACAATGGCATGGTTTGTGTCATTTCTATCACACTGAAAAGTTTTTCAAAAGTCTCTGCTATAACATTGTACTATAATGTAAAGTGCATACATGCACACTTTGAGACAAAAAAATAGCATTGTAAAGTGTACCTGTGAGAAGACAGGACTAATGTCCGGCCGCAAGTTCGAATTGTTGATAAAACATTCCACATTTGTCTCCTGGCTTGTGGGTCCATACCACTTGACGGTTCATCGAGAAAAATGAAAGGAGGATCTCCCACTAAAGCCATAGCCAAACTCAGTTTTCTTTTATTACCTCCACTAAAATAAATCATGTCAAGTTAGTAGACTCAACAGTGAAAACAGCTACACAAAAACGCTCATATAAATAGTACACAGTCATTCCTACACGTTTATACTTCTAAACAAATAATGTTTATAAAACATTAGGTGGAATCTTCAAAGTTGACCACATGTGGCAGTCAAACTAATTTTTTATTGATTAGACAGTCTTAATATATTCTCACGAGTGCACAAGTGTTTAGTCCCATTAGCAATTTATGTGGTGAAATTTAATTATTGGCAACCAGACGACCACCGAAAAGAACAAAGGATGCCAAACGTTCGTTGGTGCGTGCCGGAAACGTTTAAGATGCCACAGGCTAGATCAAATACCTTCGCGTTTTAAACTGAGCTAGTTCTCTCCACCACTGAATATGCATTGGCCATCATGACACTTAACACCAAAATGATCAACAGATTCACCATCATCATCAACATGTGCCCTGCAAACTGGCGTAGGCGCTCAAGCGTCTCCACAGATCACGATCCCTTATTGACTGGACTGACTCTTGTGATATCCCGCCATGCCCTCGTTTTAGCCCAGCCAGCATCGTCTCTCTTGTTCTGCCTCTACACCTTTTCCCACTAATCTTTCCAGTTGTCACGATGTTCTCCAGTGTCTCTCTTCTCATAATGTGGAAAAAGAACAGTGTTTGTCTCTTTTTTGTTGTTGTATATAGAGGTCTATTTTCATTAGCCTCTTTCAAGCAATAATTGTTAGTAACTCTAGCCGTCCAAGGTATTCGCAACATTCGTCTCAGAAACCATATCTCTGTTGCTTCCAAATTCTTCCTAATTTGTTCAGTGAGATTCCAAGATTCGCTGCCAAAACAGCAGAATTGGTTCTATGTAACATTTTGGCACCCTCTATATGACATTGAATGAGAGCCATTTATTGCATAAGATATTTTTCATTGTATGAAATGCAGCTTTCGCTTGACCTATTCTATATTTAATCTCTGTCAAACATTTCACATTTTCTATCTGATGATATGATTGTTCCCAAATATTTAAATTTATTGACTTGGTTAAGTCTTTTTCCTTCAGTTGAGATATCACAACGTTGAATTATATTCTTTTTTGATGTAACCATTACTTCAGTTTTCTTAATGTGACAGGCTGCAAAACGACAGAGACTACTGTTTAGCAGCTTGAACATGTTGATTTAGTCTGGTTTAAAAAGAAGCCACAGGAACAGCGTTTAGTTTTAGACAGTAAAATTTGGAAAAGTCTGGCCACTGGGTATAAAAAAGGCTAAATGACTCAGTATTTCTTTCCATTTGGCTTCCGGACCGACCCTGCAAAACACCGACCTAGCCGTTGTGGCTTTGCACATTGAGCAGCCAGCATGGGTACGGGTGACTGCAGGGAAAGGCTGATTGTTAAGCTGATTTCGTGTCGGTGTTATGTTTCCATAGTTAAATCTGAAATTTCTCCAGTGGTGTTAGATTTGATTTTCATTTTGTATTCTCGCTAGGAGATAGTTTGATGGCAGATCGCTATAAGTGATTTGTTTGCATATTAAAGCTAAACGTACATGTTAAATATTTTTCGGTTTTTGCTGTTGTTGGGGTAATCTCGCTGAGCGTATGGTGTCATTATCACATTTCCTTGTTAGCTGATGGTCACTTTTTATTCTGGTCGAGCATATTGGTTGTTGTTATTGTTAATTGTGGACCACGCTAATTTTATGTTAAGTGAAATAAACAGTTGTTTAATGTAGTAGTCAAAGTTCCATTTGTTTTTCGTTTAGATTAGGACTTATAGTTAGCGTGTCTAGTTTAGTATTTGTTGCTTGGCTGATCTAGACTTTACACAAAAGATTTTTGCCAGGGTGAGATACTTTTTATCTGACCCCCATCTAAACAAACTTTTTCTCCTTTTTTTCCTTGTTATTGGGGCAGCTTAAGGTTGGGGTTTGGCTCCCACTCGCCACGTCACATTGTTAGAACTCTTGTAGGTTCGGAGTCAAGGAGATTTCAAGGAGTAGATTTCCAAATTGTCCTTTATAGTTATCTCTTATTTTTCCTCCATTACAAGTTACCCCCTCTGTTTTGCTTCCAGTACAAGTGGCGTCTTTGGCAGGATTAGGTGGCTATTGTTTGTTTTGTGTGTCTTCTAGTTAGTTCAGGTAATTATAGTAGTTCATATTTTAGATTGGTTTTGAATGGTGCCCAACGTGTGGGGCTTCTATATTGCAGTCTTTGGATATTTGAATAGTTAGATGTAACATAATTTAATTTATGAAGGACTCCTAGTTTATGCAGGTAGAGTGATTCATGTTTTAGATTGGTTTTTCAATGGACCTACGTTCTCTTTTTATTCATAGACTTTGAATATGTGTGTTACCTAATTTAATTAATGAATAGCGCCCACGTGGGTGCTTTCTTTATTTTACACTTTTCGCACGTGTGCTTAGTTAGATATTATATAATTTTGTTCACAGATGAGTAGCGTTGTGGAGTGGTTTAATTTGACAAGTCTAGTCAGCCCAGGTTATCATGGTGATTCGCATTTGGTTCAAAACTTGGGTAAGTGCGGTCTGTGTTGTTAATTTTGTGTGATTAGATTTTCTTTAACAGTTTTGTTCTACTAGGAGTGGGCTGTGTCTATTGTTGACTAGGAGTGGTTTTTGTCTATTTTCCACTGAGTGGCTTGTTTACGTCTCGACCTGAACTTGGTGTCAGTTTATTTTGTATCTTGTCTCCGTATCAAGGTTTAACTGTAGGTCTGTTCAAATATTAGGGAGTCTTGTGTGAAGTACACCAACTGAGCCAGTTACGCAATGAAGTTTATTAACATTGCTGTTACCAGTCAATACATGGTAGGCTTCAGCCAAGGTAATATCTCTCGAATTTCACTGTAGTCTTTCCTAAAGCCGAGGTAATTATGGTGAAAATGTCACTCGGAAGCTAAGCGGTGTTGGCAGTGACGAGAAGATTGTCTCTCGATGGCCGAGCGGCCGAAACATTAGCAAAATTTTGTGACGTGTCTCTCGATGGCCATACGGCCAAGACAATAGTGCGATATGTCTCTCGATGTCCTTGCGACCGAGACAATTTCTATTGTAGACTTTCCTGAAGCTGAGGTAATGTCCGATATGTCTCTCAATGGCCATGCGGCTCAGACAAGTGAATCTATTGTAGGCTTGACCGATGCCGAGGTAATGTCCGATGTCCATTGTAGGCTCTCCCAGAGCCGAGGTAGTGACCGAATTGTCTTTTGTAGGCTTCCCCGACGCCGAGGTAATGTCCGATATGTCTCTCGATGGCCATGTGGCCGAGACAAGACTGGAAGCAATCTAATGTAAGCCCCACGGCTGAGGTAATAAACAGCTGAGAAAACCTATCTAGGAAGAATCACTGGACGTTAAAGAAGAAAACCAACTGAACAAGAATCCTGATGTTAGCTGATTACTATGTTTTTTTTTCAGTTCTATGTTGTAAAAAAAATATAATTTTTTTTTTAGGTTTCGCTTGTTGTGTGTCAGAGATGATTTGGTATGTGTTTTACCGAGGAGCGGATTAGGTAGGGGTTTATTCTACTCTGTTGGTGTCTCGGACACCAGCGCACTTGCTAACGTGGTCCGATGATATCGCTATCTTTAATGTAGATGGGGAGTTTTTAATAATTTTACAGATGGTAGCTGAAACTCGAAAGCAAATGTTAACTGGATGTTTCATGACTACTGAGCATACCTGTCTTCACTTTTCTCAACATGCTCTGTGAGTCAGTGACATATTTTACATTACAGATTATGAAAGGATGTATAGTACCAGTACCATAGTCCTCGTTCCGTATGTTGACCACCTGGGTAAGTTGACCGGTTTGCTGCAGTCCCTTGGTTGGTCGTCTTTAAAAAGGTTTACTATATTAAAAACGCGGCGTCTGTGGCTTAGGCGATGCAAGTCCAAATTGTAATTCCAATGTACCGTGATCGAAATCCACTCCTGGCTGCGTGGATCTTTATTATGGTATAGGGCGTCGCTGGTGACCCAGCCTAAAATAAGTACCAGGATGTATGGCCTGGGGAAGTAAGGAAGACTGGCGTAATGCTGACCACATTACCCACCTAGTGCCAAATGGTCTGTAAAAATATTGGTGCTCTTCCCCTGGCCTAAGGCGTGGAAAGGGATCTTTACTTAACTTTTTACTTAAATAATACGGTTTTCGTAATTCAGAATCATTGTCCTTACCTTACATCCTAACTCACTAGAATGTTAGTAAAAAAAAACAAAAAAAAAACGAATTTGACCATTGTCACGATTACAAGCAGCTCTTCGCCAAGTTTGTTAATTAAATTGTTTATCATCATCATCATCATAGTCATCCAATCAACCTAAACATCATCATCATATTGATTTTTTTGTTTGATAACAAATCCATTCTTTTGTTTTTAATAACATTCTATCAAGTTCTAAATGGCAGATGGCGAAGCTGTATTTTATTAACACAATACAATTATTTATATGTAATTTTATAATGTATTTGCTTGGCACTAGGCCGAATACTGGAATACAAACACTGAGATATTGGCAGAGCAGGTATTACGCCCGCAGCAGGTTACTGAATGTCCAGTGTTAAAAAAGGTTTCAGAGGGATAGTGATGGTTGAATTCCTACATTGTGAATTACAGATGAGTAGAAGATATAAATATATAAAGATGTGTGCAAGCTGTATATGAATGATTTACGTATCACAGGAACAAGATGCCACTGACTGTATCATAAAGGAGGAAATCTTGGTTTTTCCCCCTTGCTTTCACCCCACCTTATATTTAATAGGGAATTCCTAGGGACTTCCCCGAAATGTCCTATACATTTAGAAATCCATTGTCACTCAAAGCTTTATTTCAGCCAGTATACATAGAAGGAGACATCTTTCCTTCGTTAACAATTACAAGCAAGCCTCTAGGAACATGGTAATTGTAAAAGATTACAACAAAGACAAGCTATTTTGCGATTACCATGGTTTGAGTTACAAGAATATGTTTTGCTGGAAACAGGGCACTGGTTACTGGTCAAAACGCTCTAACGACAGCATATCCAGTGGCATGGTATTAGTAACTTATGTCATTTAGTTAGTTTTCTTGAGTGAAGAAGTCAAAGGTAGAGATTCAGTTGATGGAAAAATATCACTTGGAGATAGTATATGGAGTATTTATGTTGCACTCTACGCAATATCTGCACTTAGGTGCTTGGTTAAGACATAGATATTTTTTTTTAAAAATTAAAAAGAAAAAAACTATTTAAAAAAAAAATAAATTAAACGTCTTCAGTGGGTGTCCATTTAAAGTTTATTCTCAATACCGAACAGTGATTCTTACAGGAAATAATTATGCAGTTTTAAAAGCTATCAAACAAAAAATTATAAATTATGTTAACGTAATTCAATACAATTCAACTTGTATTATTGCAAATTTAGATTGTAATACTGGTATTAATAACTGTGCGTTTTCTCTAGTTGTTGGCTAGGTAATTTACATATATATTATTAATTGTGAAGATGTAATAACACTTATCAAACACAGGCCACATTGTAAAAGACGAGGTTAACAATAATAATTACCCATCACATTAAAAATTATGAACCTATTTAAACTGCAGTGAAAAAAAGAGAGAAAAAGCAACAGTATAAGCACGTAATATAAATCTAACGTCATCTCAAAAACAAAACTACAGGGCTCAGGAAGGGGAAGAGGCAGACCAGGAAAGAGTCGATACAGAACCTGACTGACATGCGTTAGGCATTTAGCCATGAAGTCCATTGCATCTGACCGTCAAATGCAGAGAAAGCTGACCAGACAGTCAACAGCAACTGGTGCCCCAGCGATACGCAGTATTACCGGACAATGATGATGACGATGAATAACACTTGCATACTTTTTCTGAAATCCACGTAATAATGATGGTCTTTTCAAATTGTTTTCACATTTATGACATTCATATATGCCAACATTTGTCTTATAAACAAGTCTTACAATACAAACCTAAAAGTTCCACATACGTGGTCTGTGTATTCTGTGAGAAGCACCATGTCTATGAGATTTTTAACGATGTGTCCAATGAATTCTTTAGGTATACCACGCAAGTGGGCATACATAGTTAAAGTATCACGTGCTGTCATCTCTCCAATGTGAGCGTCAAACTGAGGACAGTACCCGATATTGGACTGTACCTGAAAATATAAAGTATATAAACACATTTGTATGTGTAAATATATTGCTAAATAATTGTATTCAATAAATGAAGTTGTTTTCTTGGTAAAACGCAATATAATTATCTTTCCTCACTAATTTAATCCCCAATCCAATTTTAAAAACGAGAATATGTTCGCTTCACATCTGCCCATCTTTTTGATTCCATTTAAGTTATAATAAGGAATTTTGATGGTTGTTTGACTAGTTTGAGGGAAGTCTCCATGCTTTAAATATTAGGTCTAATGTTCATTTTGTAAAACATTTTGTAAAGGTGAGTTTAGAAGAATTACTATGATAAATTGCGCTGGTTTTTAATTTCTCACAAGTTATACCATTCTGTAATTTAGAATATATATATTATCTATCAATCGTCTTCTTGGTCTCCCACGTGGTCTACGACCATTCATCCCCATTGTATTTACAGTTTTCACCTCTCTGTTATCTGACATTCTCGCAATATGCCCCAGCCATTTCAACCTATTAGCTCTCATGATACCAGTGGTGATCTGAACAGATTACGAAGCATGATAGCCTTTTTTATAAGTACGACACGTTGTAACGATGATGATAATGCTGATAATTATGATGACAATGATGGCTGTTATGGTGGTTGGAGTACTGATCGTGTTGGTTTTTAGAACGCATATTTTTACTATAGTTATATAACGTGTCATACTGATTAAAATAAAGGCTATCATGCTTCATAATCTGTTCAGATCACCACTGGCATCATGAGAGCTAATAGGTTGAAATGACTGGGACATACTGAGAGAATATCAGATGACAGAGAGGTTAAAAACTGTAAATACAAGGGAGATGAATGGTCATAGACCACGTGTCACACCAAGAAGACGATGGAGAGATAATGTCCAGAAAGACATGCAAACACTTCGCGTTACCAACTGCAAAAAAAAGACAAACCAGAGAGATGAGTGGAGGCGGGTGATATCTGCAGCAATGAATCTCAAGGGCTCTGAATGCTAAAGAAAAAGAAGAACAAGAATCATTCTTCACCGTCTCCATAGACGCACGGGTGGCTTACTGGTACGCCAATGGGCGACTAGGTCACAGGTAGGGTAAATGGTCAGGAACAGTTACTGCATAACTACCACAGAAGCGATTCCCATGGCTACTTGTTGGCGAGAACTTCCTAGCCATGTGTAAGCAGTAAACAAACAAAGACCACAATATAGTAGCTCGTAGCTTCCATGCTGGCAGCAGGCTGAACGTAATTAATTGTGATTTTTTCTTTCTTCTTTTTTAAATAGAATGCATATGGACTTTTCCCCATTTCACAAGATCACGAATACTAGCTATGTTTATGACTAAGCCACAGCTAACATTATAAATGCTAGGTAATTAGATATTAAAATAATGTTTCGGATAAATGAAGTTCTCCCCACTAAGACTGTGCAGCTAATATAGTCGTTATTTATCTCTAGCATCGAAACTCATAATATAAACATGTCCTTACCTTACGAAGGCTAGAGCGTACATCAAAACCTTTGAGGAAAGCATTGCCAGAGGTAACTGGTGTTTCTCCTGTCAGCATCCTGAAAATTGTAGTTTTACCTGCGCCACTTTTACCCAGAAGTCCAAAGCATTCTTTTTCTGGGATACCCACATTGATATGATCTACGGCTGTCAGCTGATTATATTTCTTGTGTAGATCAATGAGAAGCAGTGAATCTATAAGTCAGGAACAGTCACAGTTAAGATCACCATCTACTGGTGAGTACTTTTAAATTCCAAGTTTACAATCAAAGTGTTATACAGTCCTATAAGTATTTAAATCAGTACAATTTCAACAACTCTCAAGAAGTTAAGGGAGAAAATATAATATATGCATATTGTGGGTAAAGCCCTTAACAAAATTTTAAGAAAGAAATAGAAAAAAAAGAAGAGAAAAATTGAAAAATTAAAGCTGCTAAAAATACAGATAATATATAAATGTATATGTATTATACGACTAGGATAGATTCTGATAGCTGATAGTTTGTTTCAGCTCAGTGAAAGAAGTAGAAATAGTTGAGTGAAAGAAGTAGGAATAGTTGAGTGAAGAAAGTGCTAATAATTGAGTCAATGAGGTAGGAATAGTTGAGTAAATAAAGAAGGAATATTTGAGTGAATGAAATAAGAATTGTTGCGTGAATAAAGTACGAATAGTTGACTTAATGAAATAGGAATAGCTGAGGGAATGAAATAGGAATAGTTGAGAAAATGAAGTAGGAATAGTTATTTTAATGTAGTAGGAATAATTGAGTGAATGAAGTAGTAATAGTTTACTGAAAGAAGTAAGAATATTCAATGTTTGAAGGTTTGAACAACGGATCAACATCATGGCACAAGGGTTTTAACCCAAAAGTGCTCCGTTCTACTTCAAACTCAAGCCTGAGCCCAAAGAATCTTAGCGCAGTGCACGAACTCTGCAGCACCGGCGAGAATCCTGAAATACTTTGGATAGATTTTTAATCTATATATAAAATCGAAGAAGAGCAGGCAGAGTTCTGTTGCGAATAATGCATCGAGTGGTTCTGCGTAGTTATATCATTTGGACTTTATCAGATTTCACAGTTTGGATAGGCTACTTTCAGCACTAAAAATTTCTTGGTGGGAATTTATAATAACCCGTCAGTGCAGTTGAGGGCTATATTGTCATTGATTTCCTGGCGACAGTGGTTCAGGTTGGAATATTGCTATTACCTGGCAAACTTAGCCACATAATAATGGAGGTAGGGGGGGGGGGGGGGCTGCAGGAATATTCAGGTGAGTGAAGAAAGAATACTCAAGTGACAACACCATTAAAATACCAACAAACATGTGATGTTTATGTGCTTTTAGAAATATGTGATCTTTGTATCTATTTATATAGACAAAGATCAAATATAATGAATGTATCTATCTATAGTCTGCCAGCAACTGATTATTTCAGTTTGGTTTGGGCCTGCCAACATTATCTTGGGCATGCTCACATTATCTTGGACCTGCTCACATTATCTTGGACCTGCTCTCATTATCTTGGGCCTGCTCTCATTATCTTGGGCCTGCTCACATTATCTAACAGCCAAATAGAGAAGCTGGAGCGCATGCAAAATGAAACCATGTGAGTCATTTTGGGATGTACACGGGACACGCCTATCGTACGCATGCAGCACATACTTGCATTGCTGTCCGTATATGAAAGATACAAGGGGTTAGAGGTAAAAAGTCACAATGGTCAGGTAACACCTTCTGCATGAAGCCTCAAGGGTCTTCGCATAAAAAGTGGTGGCTCTTGGATGGCACAGGCAGAAGTCATGATCAGAAGTGTTTTTGCTACTGACAATGATAGCACATGATGAGGAGTGGGTTACAGGTTGCTGCTCAGCAAAACAGGATTCCAAAAAGTGACCCTGGACTGAGGGTGCCGGGAGTATATAGCTGCTGAAACAGGAGTACTGGTTCAAGAGCTGATCAACAAAAATTCACACCCAGGAAACTTGAATACCCAGGTGGGTCTGTAGTGAGAGGTCAAAAGAGTGGCTGGAGTTTTATTGCAAAGGTTAATGGATGCTGTTTAAAAACAGTGAGACTCGCATTCAATGCATAACATTCAGCATGAGGTGGAGGCAGTGACGGCAGCTTTCTGTTGGCTTGACAGCAGCACTGCTTAGTGTTATCATAAGGTATCCGAGGACTGCTCGGTGTTATCATTGGTTATCTTAAGACAGCTCAGTGTTATCATTGGTTATATGAGGACTGTTCGGTGTTATCATTGGTTATCTGAGGACTGATAAGTGTTATCATTGGTTATCTGAGGACTGCTCAGTGTTATCATTGACTTCCGGTCAAAATGGACGCTAGACAGGGGCACTGTTTGGAGTCGAGGCAAATTTTTTGCTTCTGCCGGGCGGTGGCCGATACATTTTTGCTTCATTTGTAGACTGGATATAGTTTCGTCGCCCAGCTTCTGAGTTGAATGCATGGCGTGACACTGTGAGCTGTGGATTTCATTTGTAAAGTTTTTTCGACTGTGACCAAGGTGGTGGTGTGAATTGTAGATTCAGAAAATGGCGCAATGCCTGTTATCGCAATGTTGGTGGTGCCATTGTGTGATTAAAATTGATCACGTTGGAAACTGCTAATCTGTTGGTGACCTGCTACCGTCAATGATGAACTGCATTTCTAATGTCAGACTGTTTGTGTTAGCACTTCGAATGGCTACCGTATGCTTTAATGCGAGTGTATGCTGGATATGCTGAGACAACAGTCTTTCAATCTTTTCACAAGGGACTGTGATAAACATTCTGTGTGTTTTTCGTTGGCACAGGAGCGGAGCAAAGATGGGATGACCCGTTAGCTATGAAGCTGAAACTAAAACTACCATACAACACCAGACGATAAGGAAACGAATAAAAGACAATATTTAATTGACATAGCAGAAGAGGCAGTGTGCAGCAGCAACAAAAATAAATTATGCCACTAAAAAGAGATAAGTTGGAACAAGTTTGTCAACTAAGTGATATTTGAAAAACAAATGTATTTAGAAAGTTTTCATCTGCAATAAAGATCAGATGAACAGGTATGCTGAATACAACACTAACTGCCTAGCTTCAATATCCTTTCGTTTTCTAGCCTGCTAAAATTGAGTTGAATATTTTCTATAGGTGAGAAAATCAGAAGAGCTATTTTTCTTTCGAAAGTTGCTAAGCTGTTAATCAAGCCGGGCAGCAGAAAATAAAGCCATAATACAGATTGTCAGTTTTATCCAAATATTCATTAGCTGACCAGGAGAGCTCATGAAATAATAGAAGACAACATGATGAAACAACCAAAGAAAGAGGACCAACAGGAGTTTGAAAAGTAAAGAGCTATAATGATATTGACAGTGCCTAGGGAAATATTTCGTAAGATATTCACGAGAAATTGGCAGCAGGCGGTAGACTTAAATGGCTTTGAAAAGTACTCCGAACATTTCAAGAGATGGACTGAGGCCAGACATTCAGCGAGAGCGCGACAGCTCATACCGATAGAGCTGAGCGTGCCGTATAAGAAGCAAATCGAAGATCAATAACTAAACAAGCTCGGGAAGTACAGTCGGTGCTTGTCTTAAGAATGATGAGGGGCAAGCAGTAAGACTCTTCGCAATTAGGGTGGCCGCAAGAAGTCTAATCGCTAACTCCACATGACATCGTCCTAAAGCATTTTGACTAGCGAGGAAACGAGCGTAACGGGCAATGAGGTAACGGGGTGAGAGAGCTTTGAGCTGGCTCTGGACACAACGGAACGACGTGGGGAATAGGCCTCTGTATTTTGGTTCTGAACTCTTAGTGGGAAAAAACAATTAAGCCTCTAATAGCCAAATCTGTCCGACCAACATCTTTACGACAAAACAACTGTCAATTTCTCACCGTGGCTCCTGCATCTAGACTGTTAATTTACTTCCTGGCACTAGGAATAAAAAACCCTAACCTTAGTACTCTGTTGCAACCATAAGGTCTTGTCGATTAACGCATTAGTAGAAGTACGAGGTTCGGAAGTCATGACTCGGGTCGGCCACCGAGATGGCGTAGGAGGTAATTGGCCAAAACAGCTGTCAAAAAAGGGAACTCCTACTAAAGTTCGGTAGGCTTCTTCTTTGCATGCTCCCTTCGTGGAGTAACATTTCTTGTGCGTGGCTAGCCCATAAGATTATCTGGAAAGACCGGCTTAGTGTCGAGAAAGGCATCTTGACGCTCTGGGAAGACTCGTGCCCCGGTATCGCCGGGATGAAAACTGGCTCTCTGGCAACAGAGAGTCGTTTGCAGACAGTGCTGATCACCACTAACGCTGTATAATAATTAGATCGCGTCACATATAAAAATAGACATATGCCCCTAGAGCCATCCCAAAAGAGAGGGTGTTGGGGTGGGAAGGGGGGGGGGGCGAGTGAGAATAAAGGACCCATAGAAGCTACTAATATTTTCGATCCCGCCAGTCTCCGGACCGTGCTTTCTGAGCAACGACAGGGCTGGTCATGCATTTATTGGAAGAGTTTCATAGGAAAGCATTCGAAAGAATGACATGCTACGGAGGTGTACTACAGCGTCTCTCTGGCGGCATAAGGATGAAGATAAAATTTCCCCCCGCAAATGACATTGTGTCATGGTGCAAACTGGAAGGTACTTTATGTGAGCATATAGATAGTGAATTTAGGAAATCGTCGCATGACGAATTATCACGGTTTGATGATAAATGTTACTCTCACAGTGCCCGCGAGATCAGAACAGTAGACAAGAGGAAGCTTGGTGTTTGTCATGAGAGAAGCAGCAGGCATAGATAATGAGACGTGCAGTGCCGACAATGATGCATTACACAAATGGATCAAAGCCGGTAGAGACATCGAAAGAGAGGGACTGCACAGTGTGTGGCTGTACCTGAAGAGCAGAAACAGTGCCCTCTGTAAGCGCCTAACGTTTCTGCCGCAACAGAGGAGGAGCGGTGACAGCACCAGGAAACTTCTTTAGAATCCGTTCCAATTTCTCTTAGACGTTTTTAAGCAACCGAAGTTAAGTACGAAACTCTCAAGATCCGCCAAGAGGAACTGGTGTCATATCTGGTGAGTATATGCTTCGAGGGGGCACATGTTCCTGTCCATGACGAGGAGACTGGCAGAGGCCTGAAATGGCCGTTGATGCTGAAGGCAATAGTCAGAGACGTGGACAAATTCCAGCGGTAAATCTGCCTGTATGTGGTACATAACTCTGTTCGAAAGTTCTCCCCCCCCCCCCCCCCCCCCCCCCAAAAAAAAAAAAAAAACCCACCGCTTGCTAAGATTTATACGGAAAAAAAAAACGAAATAGAAAAAGCGAGAGGAGCTTTCATGGCACAAGGAAATCTGTGGGGGGAAAAAAAATTTGAGAATGCCCACATTCAAGGAGCGAGATTCCTCAATTTATCCCAGTTCAGGACGATCTCTTTGTTGAACGTAGACATCAAGATATTCTTCTCGGTCATGACTCGCATACTCAGGAATTACTTGACTTATGGTCTTTTCTTATCCATCAGTTTTTGTAATTAAGTGTGTCTGATCTTACATGTTTAATTAATCTGTTAAGATAGAATAGCATTTGGTGAGAGCGCATTAATAATAATGATTCTTTACCAGGAGCAGGTAGTCGGGAGGGGTCATCTGCCCTGTCTAATAATTCATTAAATAATAAAAAATAGATATTTACAACCCCTTTCCTTCTCCTGTGGGTACCAAGTGCAGCTACTGTTAATTTACCTAACGAGCCAATATGGCTGTTTTCTTGGATATCCAGGACTTTGTCTGAGATAACATAGTTCGGATATTAGTTCAGTTTATCTGGTGGACGGGATGTGTTGAGAGGAAAATTCCTACTCATCTTAAAAAAATTGACTCACTCTCCGTTTCGAGATAGAAGGGGAGGCAGGAAGCCAACATTCTGTAGACAAATAAGGCAGATTTGTAAAACGGATGTGCCCGCAAAATTCATGTTCTGGAACATGAAGTGGACGAAAAACCAGACGTGGACATAAAACCCGAACTTTCCACAGTTTACAGCCGGTGAAGACGAGGAAGACATCACTTCAAACTTTCACCAAGCAGTAAATTACAAATAGTTGTTTTTTCTATATATATAAGACTAAAGTAATATATTAATATTAAACGGTTTGACAAATTATTGATGTGAACGAGACTAACAAAATATTACCTGTTTGAAATAATTCTTGTAATGGAGTATTAGTAATACGATTTTTCTCTGCTTCCACATCATCCTCCTCTGCAAAGATTTCTAAATCTCCATCGGCATTTGTAGCGTTATTGACAGCGCAGATTTCAGCACTAAGAAAGTTTAGAGGTAAAAATAACACATGTTAGGGAATAACTTGTGAACAATTAGAGGAACTGCTGCCGAGCACACATGAGGCAACCAAGAAAATGTGTTATCTGTTTTGTGTTGAAACACAACTATTTATTTAAAAATTACATTTCTGTTTTCTAACCAAGCATTTTTGTTGTTGCTTGTTTTAATGTGCAACTTTTGTTATCTTGACCAGTCTTTCATTCAGTTTTAAAAACAATTCATTAGGCCCTTTTCATCTGTTAGATCAAATACCGTCTGATCAATCCGTTTGAATCTAAGAGAATTATGTGTAACAGCACATAATCCATTGCCTGCTTGCTAGGCTGTCTTAACTTCATCAGTGACCCATGATGACCTTTATTGTTATGATATACGGGGAGAACGCCTGAAAACATCCAATTCGGTCCGATAGGAGTAAACAAGGAAAAGGACCATTGTTACGTCATTGACGTAGTGCCAACACAAAGATCTCGCAACACCCAGATTTAAATATATAAAACGTTGATAACACCAATCTTTTTATATGGCCTTGAAACTTGGAGCACAACTAAAAGAAATGAAGCCACATTACAAAGTTTCGAAAACAGAGTATTACGACGATTTTTTGGACCCATCAAAGATGCAAACAACGGGGAATGGAGAGTGAAAAGCAACAACGAAAATCATAATCTGTTCAAATCACCATTGATCATTGATGTCATTAGATCTCATAGATTAAAATGGATTGGGCATACCGAGAGAATGTCACAGAAAACCACTCTTCTGTTGCTTGTGCCCAAGAAAGCACAAAACACAATGGGTCTAAAAAAGAAAACTTTGATTTCAAGCCCAAAACATTAGGAGGGTCTGTGCGCTAATCCCTGAATGGTTGTGGCGATTGCAATCTCAAACGGCTGTGGAGTACTCCGTCCAGTTAGGTTGAGGTTGTCATTTTAAGCATCTCTGGGGCTAATTGCCAATCCTTGTCTGTAACTACATAAGAAGCCGATGCCTGTGTGTTCTGACGGTGTCAATTTGGTTTGTTTTTAGGATAGATAACAATGTCATTAGGCTGCCAACAAGACGTGTTCGTTAAAAAAGCCAGTAAGCAGGTTTATGACACACACACACACACACGCACGCACGCACGCACGCACGCACGCACGCACGCACGCACGCACACACACATACATGAACACATACACATTTACATTCTGAGATAAGATTTTTTTAGCAAAGGACTCTAAATCTACAGTGTCTATTCTTACTTACTTAGTCGCTCATTTCTACCCTAGGGTGTAGAGACTTGCCAGAGAGATCGCCAGACGTCTCTATCAGCAGTTTTCTTTCTGGCCATGTACCTTTCCAGTCCTCTTTCAGTTAAGGACTGTCGGATGTTGTCTTCCCAGCGAACCATGGGTCGCCCTGGAGGTCTGGTTTCCTGGTTCTTAACCTCCCTTGCCTGCCATGGTGGCTTATTTTCTCCCATTCGAAACCATCGTAACTGACTGACTGATCCACTCGGGTTTGTGAGGAACGGGTATCAAGACCTTGACGTATTGTCTGATTGTGGACTTTGTACCTTCTTGTCACGTGAACCAACTTTCTCAGATATCTCATTTCTGAGGCCCGAAGCTAGCTTCTGTCAGCTGCAGTGTCTATTCATTTGTATAAATAATTGTTTGGGACTCAACCTGAAGTGGTAGGACAATAAAAAAAAGTTTTTGGGTAAATTTCAGAGTAAAATATGTTTTTCCTCATTTTTCTTTCTCTTTTTCTGCCAACAATTTGCTCCAAAATTCTCAACTACTCATCTAGAGTATCTGTTCAAGTGTGAAATGATAGTCTGAGATAAAAATCTTTACCTTTGGAAAATGTCAGTTTTTGGCTGGGAAAACCCGACAGACGCGGTCATGTGGAAAAATCTCAATTTTGGGCATTTTAAGTCTATCTTTTTTGTGTGCCTTCAGGTAGCTCCAAAATGTCAGATTACACAACTAGTTTACCTATTCTACTTCTACAGTCTCTATTCGTGTGTAAAAAAAATTGTTTGGGACTCAACGTTAAGTGGTAGGGCACTAACAGTTGATTGTTAGCATACATATTTAAAAATACTGAAGTGTTTGATTTGTATAGGCTAAGCAAACTGAAAAAAAAAAACATACGAGAAGGATACTCTAGAAATTAATACTGTAGCAAGCATAATATGTTGAAACTTTTCTTTTGAATTGTTGAATTTTGAATTAAGAATCGATATCACAGCACTCGGGACACCCCCACTCTCCACGAGTGATCCTTATCCGAATAGTGGCACTTTGTGTCAACGGTGTTTATCGATCAGTATGATGTCCTGGTGGGGTAAAAAGTCAGTCAGAAAAGAGTTTAGTGTATTTTGAACTTTAGAAGAAGAATTAGATAACTTTTATTTTCTCTTAAACTATGGTCCTAGTTTAGCGATTAGGCTATTATAGATCATTATTTTTTGTGATAATAATTGTAAGCAGTAATTAAATCAAATATGTTCAACTGCAACGATGTTATTCCTTCTTTAAACGGGCGTAGCTTTAGAAACACATATTTGCAAATCCTAAAAAATTGTCCAGGTACTGAATATGTGTACTCACAATATTTTGTGGAAAAATCCAAATTCAATAAGAAAAACGACGAGACATCCAGCAAGACCTTGAATGAACATAAATATTAAATTGAAGCCAATTCCATCATAAATGTCCATATTGATGTATATTTCATGCCAGTGTATGCATTCGGAATGAGCGAGAGTTGATCTGCACAAATCTGAGAAATCGAAATAAATAGTTGTGTTATGATAACAATACTTGTAAAACTTAACTAAGTACTATTGGTAAATAACCACCCTCCCATTCCCAAATATAAAGTAGAATAATAAATGGTAGAGTTGTATGTGCCCTGTCTGGCAGGTTTTCCTACTGGCTCATTTGTCGAATATTTGAATCGCCATTGAGGTGATTGATACTGACCTGAATCTGGTCGATTGTTCACCCCTAGACTTGTCTTGTTCCCTAACCTAATGGTTGCGTTCACATCCGTTTTAACTAGGGCTGTACCAAATATTCGCTTCGGGGCCGAATAGTGGACCCAATAACTATTCGGTATTCGGCCGAATTGTTGCGGTCGGGCCGAATACGAATAGTGGTTACCTCACAACCGTTTCTGGACTGGTGGAAAAAAAAACATCAAGACTTCCCACCTTGGTTTATACTGTGAAGAGTTATCTTTGTGCACCACCTACGAGCGTACCAAGTGTCCCTTTATTTCCATCTTGCATGTGTTGCGAGTATAGTGTTTTTAGGTGTGTTGCTGTAGAAACAAAATGCAACACTTAAAAATATAAGAGGGGCAGAAAAGCAAGTGTTCTAGTGTTGTCGGCTTGATTTCTTTGAGTGGAGTGTCCTCTTCGTTGATTCTTTGAAGTAACGGGAGTTCGTCATCATTTATAGGTGTCGTATCTGTTCTTTCGTCGTCTCGTGGAAACGGCAGCGGCTGAATGTTTTGATCGACGTTCGGTTTCTTGATTGTCTTTGTTGTTTGATCTTCTGGCGTTGGCCGCCCGGCGTCTGGTTTCGTGAGCTCGCGGGGGGCTGGGCGACTTGTAAGGAGGGCATTGTTTTCTTCGTCGGCGTTATTTTTGTTTTTGATGTTTTGCCTTGCGGGTTTTCATTTTGACTCTCTGTATTAGTCGTATTTTCCTGTTTAGTACAGCTGGAAATACCTTCAGTGAAACAAAAAGCTGGCCTAATGCTGACAACATGGAACGAAGGTTTTTCATGGAGGTGTGTCAGCACACGAACTAATACGTGCTGCAGGAGATCACAGATTGTGGCGAGGCATAATCGACCATGCCAGCCGGCAAAGCACATGATGATGATGATTCACTATTCGTATTCGGCCGAATAGTTGGTCCAGCTATTCGTATTCGGCCGAATAGTGAAAATCACTATTCGGTACAGCCCTAGTTTTAACAATCCGATTTTTTTTGGTATGCAGACTGTTAGTTCCGTTCCTTTTAGGCTGACGCACTCTGACTTCGAAGGAAGATCTTAACTGTTACGACATGCTTGTTGGGGAAGCAGAGGATCTGTTCTTGTTTTTCCCACAATGAGATGGGAACCCACACGGGGAGACAAGCTGAATTTCATATCAATATTCAGTTCATTGTAACAGAATCATATGGCTGTTTCATCTGCTTGAGGATTTCATACCCAAAATGTGAAAGCGCAATTATCGCTTCTGTTTGACAAGATTAACTGAAGCGATAACAGTGCCATTAATTAGCGGTTTAGCATGGTATCTTATAGCCATATGATTTACTTTATTAATAATTAATATTACTGAAAATTGTTAAAATAAAATAGTGGACTATTATAAAACTTAGCATTTAAAACTTTATTTCATTATAAACTAGAGTATATTTTAGATCCTTTGGAACAGTTTTCACTAATTTGAAATTATAAATGTGTTCTTAAATATAAAAATTGCTACCCAAATAAGCAAATGCGTCTGTTACTTTAATTATTGTTGTCTCTGGTGTTATACATTTTGTTGATGTGTTTGCTGTTCGTGTCTTTACTATACTTTTTTTTTTAAAAATTACTTATTTGTAGTCCAAATCGTGATGCTATAATTGTGAAACATCTGTTTTTCTTTGCATGGTATTGTTGTGTTTGTATAGTAGAACAGTATCATCAGTGAAATCGAGATTCTAACTTTGTGTTTTCCATCCAGTCAATGCGGGTGCTCTCATAACATTTTTTTTCATCACAAAGTCAAAAGTTATGTTAAATTAAAGAAAAGATAAAATGCATATGTCTTTCATTTCAGTTTCAACTTCGAACCAATCAATCAAAACATCGTCTGTTAGTAGTGCACACGCTGAATCTTCATATACTGCTTTTATACTATTTATTATTTTTACTGATACACTATTTCATTCCAAAATGTTGGCAAACATAAAGAGACAGAACTTTCAACCATGAGTTAAAAATTGTACTTTGTGACACACACGAAACATATTTGTTTTCTAGCATGAGAGACGTGTATTAGATGTTTCACATTCTATAAAATTTTTTTTTTTTTAAATCACTGCACACACTCATCTTATCTTGAAATTGCATGCACTGAAGAAAAAACAAACATCTTTCTGATGTCTCCATTCGAAAAAAAGAACCTGGCTGCCTCGAAATATGAAGATAGGTGAAATTGTGAATTTTTGTAGTATTGTTTAAATTATGTATGTGCCGAAGAAGGCTCTATAGCCGCAACGTTCACGTTTTGTTCGTATTTATTATATATTGAAGCTAGCTGGCATACTATTCGCTCAGATTTATATATTTCGAAAAACAAAGGAACGTATTTTGGATTTAGACGGAAAGATTAGCTTACTATATTTAAAAGGCATCTGTGTTTATTCCAGTTGGTAATAATGACATAATAATAATTATTAGTTCAACAGGAATTATAAATGATATCAAAACTATAAATTACAAGAAATCTTTATACCTGGTTGGTTAGCACAACAAATATTTGAAATGCCAGATCTACAGTCCCTCTGTAGCGGCTGACACATATGCCACGCCTCGTAATTTTTTAGAATAAAATTGAAGCAGTGTGACAAATTAAATACTGGAAAGAATGCTGCAAAAATCCACGCAAACACGCGACCAAGATGTTTATTCTGTGAGGTTGGTTTTGTAAACTCGAAGACTATGATATCAGTAAGCAGCACTGAGGGAAAAAAAGAGACATTGCATAATATACTTTATTTCACATAACTCTGCACATAACTTAACTAAAAATACTCATCATAATAAGGTTACTCCAGAGAACATCTTTAGAATTAAAAAAAAAAAATCTATATCAGCAACAAAGTTCCTCTATAGTCTTCGCACTCCTTTTTGTGCGCAGTTTTAAAAGATATCCTTCTCTCCAGTCTGCTGGTAATTCTTCGGTCTCCCAGATTGTACCAAATAATCTATGTAGCAATTCCGTTGATGTGTTTATGTTGGCCCTAATGGCTTCTGCTGGGATACCATCTGGATCTGCCGCTTTTCCTTTCTTAAGGAGAATGAAAGCTTTTCTAATTTACTCTTTAGATGGCATGTCACAGTTGACATCAGATTCCATTTGTAAAGGCTGGGTATCTGGAGGAACCTCTGGACCTGGTCTGTTTAGAAGTATTTCAAAATATTCAGCCCATCTGTTTTTTTTTTTTTTTTTTTTTTTTTTTTTTTTTTTTTTTTTGTATCTTTAGTGTTAGTAAGTAAATTTACTTGAATAGCTTTGATTTATTCAGCTGGCTGACAATATTTACCTACTAATTTTCTTGTGTTACTGTACAGTTTTTTTCTGAGGGTTCTAAAGGATACAATCTGGCAATTTTAAATGCTGATGGAAAGTAGTTTTTGGTAAGACATTGGTTGTATATAAACGTTAAAAAATAGCTAATAACTGTGGATTGGCAGCTGAGACAACAAATTATGTCCTCCAAGACTGTCCTAAATACAACATATCAAGGCAAAACTTTTGGCCAAGAGAAACATCGGTGAAAGTCAAACTTTAGAGGTCGCTGAGAAGAAGAAGAAGAAGCCTAAAATATTCAGCCCATCTGTTTTTTTTTTTTACCGATTGTCCAGGATTCACAGCCATATGTTAAAACTTGATGTATGTAGCAAGCAAGAATTCTTTTTCTTACTCTCAATGACAAGGATATATTGCACAAGATGTTCTTCATTTTATAAAAAGCAGTTTTTGCCTGTCCTATTCTGTTTCTTATCTCAGTTATGCATCTTCGATCTGATGTTATCCATGTGCCCAGATACTTTAATTTCTGAAACTGTCCCAAAATAACACCATCGAATTTTACTACACATTTAGGAATAATTCGTTTCTTTGATACCACCATTACTTCTGTCTTTCCATTATTCAAACTAAGGCCCATTCTTCCACTTTCTAACACCACCATGTCTATCATTTCCTGTAGTTCTTTCCGACGTGTTGCTATCAAGACTGTGTTATCGGCCTAACTAAAATTGTTTATATTGTGCCCACCAACCATAATTCCAAATTTGCTATACACATGTAAATGACAACATAAGGTATTTCGTCCACCCGACGTAAAAATGCTACCGCCCGTACTGAATACCACGACAAAACGGCTGTACAAATGAAGGGCACCTCGCATAAAAAACATAACTCACAGTGCTGCACCCATGAGTCAACTCTGTAGTTTTGGCAGCTAAACAATGGACTTTTATTCATGTGTGAAAAATGCATCAACAAAGCGTTGTCAGAAGCAAAGAATAATTTTGAAGCTTAACATTCTTTCATGTCTGTTCCTCCAAGCTGGGCTGGAAGCCATTGATATATGTGTGCTCATAAAGAAAGGAGTTTGTTCTTTGCTGGTGAACATGGTATCAACTGTCCTATATTCAAGCGTGGCTGACTTCTGCCGATAGGACTAGAAATGCTAACCGTGTCTTAGAGTCAGCTGATGAAACTTGAAAGCTTGCAGAATAAAACTATGAGGGTAAATATAGGATGTACAAGAGATACTACAATAGTATGTATGTGATATGTACTCTCTTGGAAACAAATTTACACTTTTCAAAAGTGTGTATTTTGAAAACTACTCATCAACTTCGACTGACTTTTCACACGTTACTTAACGTTTGCACTGCTGTAGACAGTACTCACTTTGGGGGGGGGGGGGGGGGGGGGGGGGGGGGCGGGTTCATAGCATATCTTTATACTGTTAGATATCATGAAGTAAGTTGCTGTTGTTTTGTTTAAATTATGATCTATAAACAGGCTTGGAATGGGTTTGTGTTCCCATTTTGCGGATATTGAATCGTATCGACAAGTCTTTATATCTGAATTAGCCGCCGTGTTACCATAACGTCGCAAATCAACAAATCAGGGGAAAAAATCATCACCGGCTACCTTCCATTGGTACAGAAATTGGTTTTTGTATGGACATTTTATATCTCCCAATTTCCAGTCTTTGGTTGGCCCCGACATTGTTAATGCCGTTAGAGAGATAGGCCACTGGGGGGGGGGGGGGAAGGGGGGGTATCTGGGGGCAGTGTGTTCCTATTACTGCTAAGAATATGAGAATTTTAGAAGTAAAAATTGGGACAGTCAGGCATAAAAGGCACAATGGACATTCACGAAGTCTTGTTAACCAGCACATAGATTGCAGTGTTACCCGAAGGACGCTAATGTATATATTAAAGGGGAATGTGAGCACCTATGGAAGTGCAGATAATTCAACTCATAACTGAATCTTCCACAGGCTGCAGTTAAAGTAAAGTAAAGATCCCTTATCACTCCTTTAGGCGTATCGGGCACATGGAAAGAGCACCAATTTTTTTCATAAACCAATCAGCACTAGGTGGGTAATGTGGTCAGTATTACGCCGGCCGTCTTTACTTTCCCAGGACATACATCCTGGCACCCATTTTAGGCTAGGTCGATTGCGACGCCCCATACCATGTTGAAAATCCACGCAGCCACGTGGGTTTCGATCGCGGTACGTTGAAGCTACGAGTCAGAATGGTAACGCCTAAGCCACGGACAAAGCACACAATCTGCAATTCAAAACCTAATCCACTCAGGCATGGCTGTGGAGCTATCATTATTGCTAACAAAAAAAAAAAAAAACAACATTCAGTGAAACAATTTTATTTCGATCACCCCTCCCCTCCTCCCCCCCCCCGTATTCCCCACCTCCCAACCCTCCTCAATACACATGCCACACCATTGTATCAGTTTATGTTTACAAAGCTAGTTTCTTCAGTGCACAGACTGCATTAAAAAACTAATTAAGGCAAACTGCCAGAAATTGTGCTGCAATCTAACTACGCGAGGTATTGAAGAAAATACATAGTGTTAAATTTCTCTTGCAAGAGGGTTGAGTTGATTTGAGAACCAACATCACATCACTCAGGGCATTCCCATAAGCACTCCGTCCCCATCGTCAGGAGCCAGCGAAGAGTTACGATACTAATCATGCCAGTAGCATTCTGATTAAACGTCCATCTTGCCTTTCCTCTAGGCCTCGAGCATCTGCCAGAACCCCTCATCGCTCCCCCTGAATCAATATTACCAGACTATGGTCATCTGCTCCTTCGAACTAGACACGCTCTCCCACAAGGCACTAACCACGTCTGCCTTATCATGCATCAATATTCCACCAAGCTGTGCAGAGCCAGTCTGTCTGTCCGCCTGTTCCTTTCCCAACACACGTATGCCGGTGAAAAAATCCAGTCAATACTAATCACCCGTGGCCTCCGCAGTGAAGCACGCCACTCTGCACAAACCATACCTGCCCAGATCTTCCTCAGCATGCTTTCTGGGTCAGTTATAATCACGACGTGTGTGTGTGTGTGTATGTGTGTGTGTGTATGTGTAGTGTTCTCTAAGCAGCGGAAAGCTGCAGTGACCGCTCCACCTCCATTCTTAAGCTGGATGTTGTGGTATTGTATGCTAGGCTCTCCTGTACCAAACGTCGACCATTAACTTTTGCTAAGAAACCTAAAGCACTTCTTTAGCCTCTTGACACTGAACCGTCTGTGTAAATAATCAAATCCTCTGAGCGATCATTATCTTAAATTAACTGCTAAATTTCCACCTCCGTGGCAACTGCTGGCCAGTCTCTGCATTTCCGGCTCAGTGTGATTATGACCCTTCACAAGTCTGACTGTTCAGGTGGCACTTTGACCCACTCCTCTCCTCCCCTAACGTTTACAAGGATGCAAACCTATTTGATTGTGTCTTTTGCCTGAGCCATCCGCGACTTCTCTCTTATCAGCCTCTCACCCTTAACTGCGCCAAGTGCTTCGTGCAAAAGGTGGTCTGTGTCTGCAGCTATCTTGAGATATAAATTCGCCTGCAGCACCTTGTGCCTACTTGCAACAGTCGGCAAACCAAGGATGTATCGCATACACGCCACTGGGGTGTCTCTGGTGCAATCTAGAATGACTCGCATAGCCACGTTCTGTATGCGCTCTAGTTTTTCCATCTGACTCTTTGAGACGGTAAGCAGTCAAAGGCCACAATCAAACTCTGACAGGATCTGGTGAAAGAGAGTATACACTTGCACTTTAGACTACTACAAATAGACTCAAGTGCTGCAACAAAGTCATATATCAGAGTAGCCGCAGACAAAAAGTGTCTCCTCTCTGAAGCTTTAGATAGATATAAGGGTCACAGACTGAAAAGAGGAAGGTAAAGGATGATGTGAGCTGAAGACAAAATTAGACATGTGTGCAAGCTTCATAATATTTTTTTTTCTTTGTATCAAGGAATGCTTATTTGATTGTTTCCTGTTTTGTATTGCTTTCTGAACCTTTTTCTCCCACTATGCATATCGTAATACAGTATCGTTTTACAGGTCGTCACTGGTACTTCGCAAATGGGATAGGGTGATTTCTCATAAAATCGATCTGTGAAATGAAACTGAGGTACTGATAGATAAATGTGTGTGTGTGGGAAGGGTTATGTGACAACAGATTTTCAAATTGTTACGACACATCACAATGGTAGTGTGAATGTTAAAGTATATGGAAGAAAGAAGGAATGGATAGTGAAAAATACTGAAGTATAATCAAAAATACAGTAACAATGTATAAACTATAAGCAACAGAACATACTTACCTGAGAAAAGATTGAAAATCATCATTCCAGCCAATCCCGAAGAAGGCGTTGTAAATAGGAAGTGGCAAGCATAAGTGCAAGGAAGAATTGCCCAAACAAAAAAGAATATCACAAAAATAACAAGAATCCAATTGGTTCCGTGTAAAAATGCCCATTTCTCAAATATAAAAAATATCACAAACAAAATTATTGTTGGAATAATAAAACTTAATGCATCCCATAGCAGAGTTGGTAGCCAATAGGTAGTCATGCTAACACCAAATATTGCATGCATGTGCTTCACTCCAGACTGAAAAATATGAAAATTTTGAAAATGGTTAATTTCAGTTCATCTACACACAAAAAATATAACCAGTCTTGCGGGCAAAACATTCTTTCCTGGGTATTTCTATTTAAATAATGTTATCAAGCTAAGATACGTTTTTTTAATTCAAAGCATCTGTTTAAATATTAAAACTTTTACAAAAATAATAATGAATGAATGAGTTGAGCTGATTCTAGAACAGACATCACAGCACTCAGGGCATTCCCATAAGCGCTCCTTTCCCATCCTCAGCAGCCAGTCAAGTTCCAATACTAATGGGGCCAGCAGCATTCTGATTAAACGTTTGTCTTGCCTTTCCTCTGGGCCTCGCGCATCCGCCAGAACCTCTCGTGACTCCCCGCCGCATCAGTTTTACCAGACTGTGGTGATCCATCTGCTCCTCCGAACTGTACGCGCTCTCCCACAATGCACTAACCACGCCAGCCTTATTATTCATCAGTATTTCATCAAGTTGTGCAGAGCCCGCCAGTCTGTCCGCCAGTTCATTTCCTAACACACCGGCAGACAAATTCAGACAATACTATTCGTGTTCTCCGCAGTAAAGCACGCCACTCTGCACGAAGCATGCATGTCCTGACCTATCTTAGCATGCTTTCTTAGGCAGTTACAAGCACGATTTGTGTGTGTGTCGTGTTCTCTAGCCAGCGGAAAGCTGCAGTGACCGCCTCCACCTCGATTCTTTAGCTGGATGGTGTGGTATCATATGCTAGGCTTTCCAGTACCAAACGTCGACCGTTAACATTTGCTTAAAAAACCAAGCACTTCTTTTGCCTCTTGACACTGAACAGTCTATGTAAATAATCAAATCTTCTGAGCGAGCTTTATCTTGAATTAATTGCTGAATTTCCACCTCGATGGCACCTGCTGACCAGTCTCTGTATTCCGGGCTCAGTGTGATTATGACCCTACACAAGTCCGACTGCTCGGGTGGCACTTTGACCAAATCCTCTCCTCGCCTAATGTTCTCAAGGATGCAAATCTGTCTGATTGTGTCTTCTGCCTTAGCCATCCACGACTTCCCTTGTATCATCCGCTGACCCTTAACTGCGCCCAGAGCGTCTGCAGCTACCTTGAGATATGGCTTTGCCTGCAGCACCTTGTGCCTATTTGCCACAGTCGGCAAACCAAGAATTTATCGCATACACACTACTTGGGTGTCTCTGGTACAACCTAGAATGACGCGCACAGCTGCTTTCTGTATGGATTTTAATTTGTCCCTTTGAATATTTGAGACGGTAAGCAGTCAAAGGCCATAATCAACCATTGACACAATTAGGTGCTGATATAGTGTGAAAAGCATTCTCTGCTCTATCTCAGTTGTGCTCTATCTCAATTGCTGCCATAGTCTGAAGTGCACTAAGTCCTTGCTGGCATCTTGTCACAACACTCTCCACATGGTCCTTAAAGGACAGGCTCATTTCAAATGTAATTCCAAAATACTCCATTTTGCTCTCTCTGTGGACGTTTTAACCATCTATTGTGAGACTTGGGACATTAGCTCTAACGATCCTATTGTCTTAAGAACACCACAAAACAGACGCATTTTCCGGACTCTGTACACCACTAAGTCACTTTTTCTACTGTCGCTTATAGCTTCTGGGCTGTTTATTCCCTCTCTTCCCCCTGCCTATATGCAAGTATATCATCCACAAAAGTCATAAACCTTCTAACTCCTGGTGCTTCTAGGCTTGCAGTCTTGCTCGTAAGCACGATAAAGAGCACAGGCGAGATGACGAATCCCTTCCCTTCGGCAGCCCTGGGGCCAAACTGCATTGTTCTGAGGTCAATGAGCCCAGTCGGAGAGCAACCCGACATGAATACAAGACAGCTGTAATCCAATTCACCAGCATGGACTGACCTCCTTCTGCTTCAGTGAGTAATCAAGATGTCATATCCTACTCTGTTATAAGCATCCTCGAGATCCAGTGCTACCACCAAAGCTTCCTGTCTGTTCTAGAACCCTATTAAACGTCAAAAGCAAAAGTGGTCGCATTTTCCCAGGTGTTCTTTCCTGGCCTGTAGCTTACCAGACCTCTTGTGAGAAGCTTCTCCCTTTCCAAAAATTCTTTTTGCAGCAACTATTAACTGTCTTCTTCTTCTTAGACTTCGTTTTGACATTTCATTTGTGTGGGTTGGAATCTTCGTTTGTATTTTGTTGTTAATGTCAACGTCTAGTACTAGTTAAACAATAGTAGTAAAACGACTGTACTTAGCAGTGCTCTCTTGGTGTCAATTGTTACATGCTTGTGCAGCAGTATTGTGACAGCTATATCATTATTTGAATTGTTTATTGATTTTGTTTAAAATTAAATTAAATTATGATCCATAGAAACCTGAAGTCTTCGGCTGCACTGAGTTGTTAGTTTTATATAAATATTTTGATTCTTTGTTCTGTTCTTGCAATTGTCTTAAAAAATTGTTAATTTTCATGTTTTTAATTTTTTTTATTTATTAAGAATTGTCGCCCGAGCTACGGAGCACGTGCTCTGCGCTTAACGTCATCTTGGGCGAGCAGCAAAGAGATAGTGAAGAGGAGAAAACGAGGAAATGGTGAGGAAGAATGCAAAGAAATAGAAGGGCAGAAGTCAGGAGACTTAAGGGGAAAACAGAACGGCTGGGGTTCAGCTACATAAAAGTGTGCTTTTGGAGCTGTCGTAGTGACAGACAAGAGAGGGCCCATACTAGAGAGGTTGATATACGATTTTTTATGTATTCATGCATTAAGAGCTGAATGCAGACAAATATTATTGCCCTGGATATGTCAGCCATGTAAACCCTGCTGGACATGGGCAATATCTGCAATCGAAGGAGGGCTTGAAACATGTGGTTCTTGACCTGATTCAGTGGAATCATGATGCTGTGGAGGCGCAGGAAATACAGACTGAGATTGGTAGCCTAAGCTGGAACATAATTAATGTATATGATGCCGTGGGTTCATTAGTCACAAAGCAACAGTGGGACTGGCTGAAAGACCTAGAAGAGATCCCTGGCAACAGGTTCCTTTTTTGTGGGGATATCAATGAACGGAAAAAATAATGGGACAGTGCTGGAGAAAATCGACAGGGAATTGTCCTTGCTGATGCCATGGTCGACTTTAATTGGGTCTGCATAAATGATGGGAGGCCAGCCAGAATGGCTCTGAGGTTCGGTGAAGCAGACACGGCTATTGAAATCGCGTTTGTTACCAAGTCAGCAGTACTGGATACAAAATGGACTGTTCTGGGCGATCACGGAAGCGATCATTTGCCATGTTCGGAATTCCAAATCCAGTGAAGTCATGGATTCAAAAGCTCGTAGGTCTTTCGAGTATGAGCGGACAAACACCCTTTTTGGACGCCTCCGACAGAGGGCATGGAAGAGGAATACCAGATCTACTTTTGTGCAGCCTCCATGGTAGACCTCAGAGATAGAGAGGGCATGGAGGTCAAAGAGAGCTGTAGTAAAACGATAAAAGAATGTGCGACAAACATCCCTTAGCACTCAGGGAGAATAGGAGTGTGCGGAAAGAGATAGGAAAGATGGGATAGCGATTTTCAAGCATTGTGAAGCAGAGGCCAAAAATGCAAAATGGAAGCAATTTTATTGATGAGATTTGCCGCAAAAAGACATTGGGATAGTTTTGGACACAAAAAAGGCAAGATGCTCAAGAAAGATCGACCTAGCGTAGTAAAAGCAATTCACAGAGACAACGGTATGCTGTTAACAAGGAGATAAGGGAGGCTTTCCTATAGAGGTTCATTTCACAGACATACCACAATGATAGTGATTACAGAGATACAGTTAGAGAAGATCTGGCAGTGATCTTAATGAACAAACATTAAGACATCATACAGGTGGAAGATGTTAAATGTTTTCTGAAAAGGAGGAAAGACACTGCACCCGGGCCTGACAGGGTTAGATATTCCTACATGAAAGACATGAGTGATGCAGACACTCAGTGGCCTTAGGGTCATAACCCTAAAAAAACACCTTTGGTATAGTGGTGGAGAAGATAGTGGCGGGTAAGATACAAGAAATTTTGGAACAGAGAAAGCTTCTTCCAGGAGATTTAGGAAGTACTGGTCGGGGAAAGACATATGGTCAAATGCAACCCTTTGACACTTTTGAAGGTTTATTTCTTTGAAGGATCAGAGGGGAAACGGTGGCAGCGGCACTTGATTTGGCAGATGCTTATAACAGAGTCAGATACAGTATCTTGATGAAAGCGCTTATGGAGAAGGGAGGCTGTCCTTATTTGGTGAACTGGATAGCAGTCTTTTTGTATACTCGCTGGGTAGCTCTCCGCCTGTGTACATGGATCTCTGAACCAGGTATTATAGCTCCAGGACTACCACAGGAATCTGCTATTTCACCTGTGATTTTCAATATTTCTTCCGAGAAATATTGCCTATCTGGAGACACATGGAGTTGGCAGAATATTGATATTGATAGGAAGGGGAGAGATCTGGATCAAATAGCTCAAGAGTTACAAGCAACAGTAGATAAGGTGATCGACTGGTGTACAGACTTGGGTGCTGTAATCAACCCAGGAAAGGCAACCATCCTGTGGTGTTCTTTGGGCAACAGGATTGTTAGCGCAGATGTTCCAAGACTCCAAATAAATGGCAGGGACATCAAAAAATACAACATACTGTGGTACTGGGTATCAACTTTGACAGAAGTTTGTCTTTCAAGGATTACATAGACGGGGTTGTGACAAAGGCTCGAAAAGATCCTAATGCACTAAAGATTATGGCAGCGGTGGACATGGAGCAGAGAATGCTGCTCGCACTTTACCAACATTGAATTATCTCAGTGACTGATTATGGACAGGGGTTACTCATGGTCTCGAAGAGTCAGCTAGAGAAACTGGAGCGCATACAGAATGAAGCTATGCGGGTGATCTTGGGATGTACAAGTGAAACCCTGGTTGTGTGCATCCGATACATCCTTGCATTGCCGACTATTACACTTAGGCTAAAGGTGCTGCAGGCTAAGTCAAACCTCAGAGTAGCTGCAGACAAAGAACACCCTCTGGATGAAGCTGTGGCTGCAGTTAAGGGTCAGAGGCTGGAAATGGGAAAATCGTGGATCGTGGATGGCTCAAGCAGAAGACATAGTAAGACAAGTTTGCATGCTGGAGAACATAGGGCGAGGAGATGAGTGGGTCAGAGTACTAGAAAAAAAGTCTGACCTGTGTAGTGAAATGATCACATTGGGCCGGGAGTGCAGACAGTGGCCAGCGGGTGCTTCGGAGGTGGAAGTCCAACCGTTGATTCACCACAATTCAAGCCCAGGTTATCTAATTATCTACACATATGGTTCGGTGGTGAGAGGAAAGAGAAGTGCTTAGGGGTTCGTAGTGAAAGCCAACAGAAAATCTTTAGTGCAAGACAGCTTATCATACGACATCACAACATCTAGCATGGGAATGGAGGTGGAGGCGGTAACTGCAGATCTACGGTGGCTAGAGAACAAGATGCATACACATATCGTAATTTTACCAGACTGAAGGCATGCTAAGAAAGGTGAAGACAGGGATGCTTCGAGCGAAGGGGCAAGCTTCACTTGGAAGGTCACGGGTTGTGAACATACTATGGATAATTTATCCAAGCCATGCCGGCGTAGTGGATAATGAACATAGAGATTTGCTGGATCTGCACCATTGGGATGTGAATTGATGCATGACAAGGCAGCTGTGGTCAAGACCCTTTGGTAATAAGCATGGGAATTAGTAGAGAAACAAGATTATTATGGCCTTGAGAGAATGAGGCACCTGGGTGTAACCGGAGGGTCTGGCCTGCTCACTACACTCAGAGGTAAGGCAAGACGAACATATAACGAGATTATGACTGTAACATCAGTATTGGAACCCTCCGCTCCCTGCTGAAGAGCAGAGGCATAGGAATGCCCCGACTTCAGTGATGTCGATTTTTGACTCAACTCAACCCAAATCTGCTCAGAATGCACTATAGTTGAAAGATGTCGTGGGTTACACACAAACCCACCGACTCGGCTTAGGGCAGGGGAAGGTAATGTGGTCCAAAGCTTCTGCCACAGAGCCTAGAGACATGGTGACACAATAGATCAGAGACTCCGAAAACGGGTTACGAGTTGAAAAAGCAGCCCAGCAGTAGCGGCAATGCCAGTAGCTCGGCCTCGAAAGTGCCTGCCGTTTGAACTTACACGGGGTGAGATTTGGCGAATGATTGAAGACAACCACCTGTAAAGACTCGAGAAAAACAGTGGTCTGGTGGCCAGTCTGAGAAGCGATGAAGGGTACCCAGTTAAACTGTTCGCCGTCGAGGTAGGCTCAAGAGGGTTCTTCTCCACTTCCACATAAAATGTACAACGTAGCGCCGTGGTTACAGGCTTCGGTAGACTGATCCGTGTATCTAGTGGAAAAGAACTTTTAAATTCCTTAACACAAAGTTGTCCGATCAACGCTGTTAACTGCCACATTCTTCCTGATGAAACAAGCTTCCATTTGTCACTTAGATCGTGCAGATAGGGGCCTAATGTGCTACCTCAGTACTTGCTGCAAATCACATAACGTCTTGTCTGAATGTCTTATAAGCACTGCAGCAGTCCGAGACTGGGAGTCATGAACCCCCTCCTCTGCAAGAATTGTAGGGGTTAAATGGGCCGAAACAATTGTGTAAATCCGCTTTCAACAATTGTTTCGGCCCGTTTAACCCCTACAACCACCTAGCCACCTACCGAATATCTGAAGTCTAATGCTGAGCAATCTCCCGCTATCGAGTTCTTCTTATTATATTATGTAATTAAGTATCCTCTTTGTCAGGCTACACATGTTTTACATAAATACAGTGCATCAAACATTACATAATCTTTACCTGCCTCTCTGTAAGAAGATAATGCACAACCAACGATGCATACATTGCAAAGCCAATCCCTACAAACATTCCAACAAAAAATCCTGAACGGTGACTGTCAAACACTCTGTAGTCCATCTCTGCTTCTCCTTCCTTACGTAGCGGATGAACTCCCATAGAAAGATGGTAAGAACTATCTAGAAGGTAATCAGCTACTGCGTTCATGATGAGGTTTAGCTGATGAAAATATATAATATCTAAATAATCGTTGCTACTAGCGTGCCCGCGCGCACACACAAACACTTAAGCATGCATAACACATACACACTCACGAATATGTTCTACGTGTAGAATATATATACATACATATATAAAAAAAAATACTTTGAATTTTTTTAAAAGAAACCTATTTATTGATTCTGTGTACATAATGTCGCGCTTCGTAATGCCGTGGTACTGTTTTTTTTTAATCCTAGCTGCAGGTGATTTGGTGTTATACCATAATACGTTGGTTTCGACAGTTGTACCGAGAGTCGACCATTTAGTTAATGGCAAACTAATAGACATAATTGTGACTATGTCAATTGCAGCCATATTCTGAAGTGTTGCAGCCATAGTCTTAATTGCACTAAGTCCTTTTTGGCATCTTGTCACAACATTCTCCACATGGTCAGGCTCCCGTAAAATGTAATTCCCAGATACCCAAGTTTACTCTCTCTCTCTCTCTCTCTCTCTCTCTCTCTCTCTCTCTCTCTCTCTCTCTCTCTCTCTCTCTCTCTCTCTCTCTCTCTCTGTGTGTGTTGAAGTTTCTACCATCTATCGTGAGACTTGAGATAGCGGATCCATGTGGCAGCACTGTGGCCCAACTGCATTGTTCTGAGGTCCATGAGCCCTGACAGAGAGCAACCCGACGTGAAAACAGGACAGCTGCAACCAAATTCACCAGCCATGGACTGACCTCCTTCTCCTTAAGTGCAGTCATCAAGATGACTATAAGTTATAAGCATCCTCGAGATCCAGTGCTACCGCCATAGTTTCCTATCTGTTCTGGAAACCTTCATAGACGTCAAAAGCAAAAGTGGCCGCATTTACCCATGTGTCCTTTCCTGGCCTTTAGCTTCCCAGACCTCTTGGGAGAAGCTTCCTCCTTTACCAAAATTCTTGCAGCTTTACAGCAACTATCCTTCCTTCCAATGCTTCACAGCTGGCTAAGATTAGCGTAGAGCCGAAATCACATATGTACCCAGTGGCAGACAGCCCATGGCGTCCTCCTTTTGCAATGAGCGAGACGCCTCCAATATCTATCCAAGTTCAGACCTATCTCGCTGTGGAATATACATCTAACAAAGTTCGCCATAAGCTTCTCTACCCCACGTTTACTACGAGATGGAACTCCAGGCTGAGATAGCATTGGGATGTACGATTTCAGCAGTACTGTTTGTAACGGTCATGCAGGTCATGTCAGACAGGGCTTTCGGCTGCCGATAAGGACGTCAAATTGGAGATCACTAGATGCCGCCACTGCGAGTATTTATGGATGACACAACTATCATAACGGACAGTGAGGATGATACCCGCACGATTCTGAAGAGGTTTGCCTGCGTTGCCGAATGGTGTGGAATGCAGTTCAAACCGCAGAAATCAAGAATTTTGTCAATCCTTGAAAGTAAAGTGGCGGCAAGTTTCACGGTGGCAAAGAAAAGGATTCCCACGGTTCTGGGGCATCTGGTCAAGCGCCTAGGCCGCGACTAAGATTCGAAGTTATCTGACAGAGTGGAGTTATGACGTATGCATCAGTCACTGGCAACAGGCCTGCTTGCTATGGAGCGATGCAGGCTGATCGGGAAGTTCAAGGTCTGGTATCTCCAATTCATGTTGATTCCAAAGCTCATCAGGCCGCTGCTCGTGTACGAGTGAGCATGACAGCAGGGAAAAATATAGAGAATACTATAGAATACAGTCTTGAAATTAAGTATACTATGCCCTTTAACATCCGCTAAAGTCTGTCTCGCAACATCAAGATCAAAATATATAGAACGTTGATAAGACCAGTCCTTTTATGTGGCTCTGAAACGACGAATCTTTATACCCATCAAAGACGCAAACAGCGGGGAATGAAGAGTGAGAAGTAGAAGCACAACCGACAACTTGCACCATGAGAGCTAATAGACTGAAATGGCTGGGGCATATTGAAAGAATGTCAGATGACAGAGAAGTAAAAACGGTATACACAAAGGAGATTAATGGTCGTAGACCATGAGGCAGACCAAGAAGACGATGGAGAGATAATTTCCAGACAGACCTGCAAACACTTGGTGTCACCAACTGAAAAGAAAAGGCCAACCAGAAAGATGAATGCAGGTGGCGTGATATCTACAGCAATGAACCTTAAGGGCTCGGAATGCTAAAGAAGAAGTACACACTAATCACCACCATGAATGCAGTGGAAAAACAATCCTAATTCTATTCGCTGCTCACAATGTCGCACCATACAAGAAATTCAGTAGCTGGGAGAGGGGTATATACTTCCAGTGCACGGATGGGGGAAATGCAACTTATCTGCCATATTGCACTTGCAGTTTGAAAAGTGAGCAACACAGTAAAGAATTACTGTTGCTGCTTTATTATACAAATCATAGGGAAAACATATCAGTGAAAAAAATACAGCTTCAATAATGTGAAACTACTTACTGACACAAAAGCAGCGTGATAAGGTTGACTGTTGTACAGTATAGTAATATTGAACTCAAATGTCGGTTCAACACAACTAAAATCTGCACCAGCAATGAATTGTTGGTCAAAGTCCAAGACTCCGTGTGATTTAGATGCTTCCAGCAAGTAATTATCGTAGTCAGAATACTATATAGGGAAGAAATAAAATAAAACAACCTAAACGACAAACAGGGGTAGCAACTATGTCTACAATAAATATGCATTACTATCATTTTATAATTTAAGATTATGTAAAGTTCTACCCTTCTTCTTCAGTCCGCTATCCTCAATTGAGCGTAAGTTGTTGATAAACACGCCCAAAGCGTATAATCTGTTCTTCTTCTTCTGCCTTTCTATCCCCCAATGGAGCATAGGCCCTCAACCAACTCACGCCAAGTCGTTCTATCCTTCGCCATTACCTGGAGCTCTCCCCATGTCCTCCCAATCTTTCTAACCTCATTCTCCAGCTCTCTTCTCCATGTGTTTTTTGGCCTTCCTTTATTCCTATGCCCCTGTGGGTTCCAATGCAAAGACATTCTAGTTATGCTGTTCTCCTGTTTTCTCAGTGTGTGCCCTATCCAACGCCAGCGTCTTTTCCTCACCTCCTGATCCACTGAAGCCTGTTTAGTTCTCTCCCAAAGTTCTACATTAGTTATTCTATCATACCATTTTATTCCCTCTATTCTGCGCAGGCACCAGTTAATGAATGTCTGTAATTTATTAGTAATTGCCTTCGTTGTTCTCCATGTTTCCGCCCCATACAATAGTACTGATTTGACATTAGAATTAAAAAATTTTTAGTTTAGTATTTCTTTTAATTTCTTTTGACCTCCATAAATTCTCTAATGCTATGAAAGCCCCTCTTGCCTTTTGTATTCTTATTTTAATATCTCTATCAGTTCCTCCATCTTTATCTACATTACTGCCCAAATAGGTGTACGACTCCACGTCTTGGAGTGGGGTGCCATTAAGAGAAACCACATTACTATTTGCCTGATTTATTCTCATTATCTTTGTCTTTCCTTTATGGATTTTCAGACCAAGCTGCTGTGATATTGCATTAGGTATATTTAATTTATCTTGTATCTGATTCCGTGAATGGGACAGAAGGGCAATATCATCAGCGAAGTCCAGATCATCAAGCTGTTTTGTAGGGGTCCACTGAATTCCATTCTTGGTGTTAGCAGTTACTGTTTTCATAGTCCAGTCTATAGCCAGTAAAAATAGAAGAGGCGACAAAAGACATCCCTGTCGCACACCTGTTTTTATTTCAAATGCATCTGTTAGCTTTCCCTCATGAAGAACTCGACATTTCATGTCTTTATATGTTGCCTTTACTAAGTTGATAATTTTCTGTGGGATTCCATAGTGCCCCATCAATTTCCAGAGAGATTCCCTATCAATGCTGTCAAATGCTTTTTCATAGTCTATAAATCCAATGTAAAGTGGTGAGTTCAGTTCAATGCTTTGCTCTATTATAATACGTAATGTGGCTATCTGATCAGTACAGGATCTGTTTGACCGAAAACCTGCCTGCTCATCTCTTAGCATCTTATCAATAGCATCTTTTAATCTTTCCAAAATAATTCTACTTAATATTTTTCCAGGAACTGACAGCAACATAATTCCTCTATAGTTTTCACACTCCTGTAGATCACCTTTTTTGGGCAGTTTCACAAGATATCCTTCTCTCCAGTCTGCTGGTATTTCTTCGGTCTCCCAGATTTTACTGAATAATCTATGTAGCAATTCTGTTGATGTGTTTATGTTGGTCCTGATGGCTTCAGCTGGGATACCATCTGGGCCTGACGCCTTTCCTTCCTTAAGAAGATTTATAGCTTTTCTAATTTCCTCTTTGGATGGTATCTCACAGTTGATATCCAGTTCCATTTCTAAAGGCTGGATATCTGGGGGAACCTCTGGGCCTGGTCTATTTAGAAGCATTTCAAAATATTCAACCCATCTGTCCATTTGATCTTTAGTGTTAGTAAGTACCTTTCCTTGACTATTTTTGATTGATCCACTTGGCTGACTATATTTACCTACTAATTTTCTTGTGTTACTGTAAAGTTCTCTGAGGTTTCCTTTTGCTGCTGCTGTCTCCGCTTCTTGTGCTAGATCATTTAGATATTTCACTTTATCTGCCCTTATATGCCTCCTAACTTCCTTGTTGGCTTCTGTGTAATTCTCCTGAGCTCTAGCTAGTATAATCTGTTACCCTGTATATACTGTATATACATCCTCGTTATAACAGTGGAGGATACGGTCGGGACACCGTTTTTGGCGTGTCTGGAATAACACATCCCTGTGAGTACTGAATGATTGATTTCGTACTATCTCGCGGGTCAAGGCAGAATGTCTGGCCATGCTATAGTTACAGATGGCTGAGCTAGATTGACCTGATAGCTAGCTTGTTCAGTATCAGCAAGATATTACGTATGTCGGCTATCTTCCGAATAAAGGTCCAAAATTATCAAGGCCGAAAATATACATCAACAGGGCCTCAGTCACATGTAAATTGCGAACTTCCGGCGACTTCAATCGCCCACGTCCGATGACTACCGCCACAGCCGAGAGTATCTCGGATTGGGGCTAAACTAGATGGCTGGGACTCACTAGCAGCAGCTACCGCATCTCCTGTAGCTTTGTTCATTTTTTTTTTTTTTTTTTGCTCGTGAGTCCCAGCCATCTAGTTTAGCCCCAGTTCACGCCGCGATACTCTAGCCGGTGGCAGAAGTCCGCAATTTACATGTGACTGAGACCCTGTTAGGGTATATTTTCGGCCTCGATAATTTGGGACCGTTATTCGGAAGATAGCCCGTATGTCATTATACCTCAAGTCTTTACTTTTTTTAATAAGGCGTTGCGAACAGGTTTTGTAATAATTGAATACCTGGTTCTTTTTTAAATGCATGTGATTTGGTAAAGGATCGCCTTGAGTTGATTCAGAAAGTGGATGGAGCTTCCAACCGTTCAGGGCAATCGCAAACTACTGAAGCAAAATTGCCCACTAAAATCACAAACATTTAACTCAGGATCTGCTTCTGCCACGCGTTATCAAGCATAGGAAGATAACTTCTTTTAAATAGGTGTTAGTGTGACAATGAGTTGAATTAACAACACAGTGAGAGAGGAGTAGTTAAAGTAACCACCGGAGCAAATAGGGTTAATGTAACAGGTGGACTGGCATAAGAAGTTACAGAAAATGTATAATTTAGATATTTACCAATAACCGCAGTGTGCATACACACACATAAAGAGAGAGAGAGAGAGAGAGAGAGAGAGAGAGAGAGAGAGAGAGAGAGAGAGAGAGAGAGAGAGAGAGAGAGAGAGAGGATTGATTGATGGATGGAGGAAGAGAGAAAACAATAGGATAATTTTAAGAGAATTGTCCACGCTGCTGTTAAGAATGTAAGAAATTATTAATAACGTTTTTCACAGCCAGACACAGGAAGCACACCAGAATAAGTGACACCTTATCAACAAGCACATAGAACAGGCTTCTAACTGCAGGAGGCAAGATCTTATTTCATTATGGCCATCTATCTCTTTTGCCTTGTGAATTAGAGTGAAAAGACATTTTAGAAGTTACAATCTTATCTGGTGGTTCGTCAGGTATGCTAACTATTAAGCATAAATAAGCAGTGGTGCTGTCGCAAACGTACTGAACACAGGTAGAAGAAGCATGCACGGCCCATCATTTGCTCACGTTCATTGTATTATTTAATAATAAACCTAAATCGTGTTATTCACTGTATTATAATTCTATAAACTGCATTAGTGATTGGCAGTGAATTATTGCCATTTGAGCTAGCTATTGGGTGCAATGGCTAGGTAACCTTATAGTGTACACTTCCACACGGAAATAGTTTTATTTTGAAGTAACAATGTTGAAACCAATTCTATAATCGTTGTAGAGATGAAGGGATAGAGCACCGACGAAGCGAAAACTACAAACTAGATCTAATATCAAGATATAACAAATTTAGACACACGAACACTTGTCCAGTAGCATTAACTATTTAAAACTCAAGACAAATCTACACAAGCAAAAACTGCAAAAATAAATATGATTTATTCATCCGGAAGAGAAACAAAATTGACAAATCTAATATGAGCCGAGCAAAGTGTGAACATTTGCTTCATCAAGCTTGTTTTCTCGACAGTCATTTTTACCACGCTTGGATTTTTATCATGGTTTGGGGCGTCGCAGGTCGACCCAGCCTGAAATAGGTACCAGGATGGATGTCCTGGGGAAGTAAAGGCGGCCGGCGTAATGCTGAACACATTACCCACCCAGTGCCGATTAGTCTGAAAAAATATGAGGTGCTATTCCTATATGACTGATACGCCCCAAGGCGTGAAAAGAGATCTTTACTTTTACTTTAATTGTTTACCACTGTGGAATATAGTAGATTTACTTTTAACCTGGAAAAATAGCTAAATAGTTTTCAAGTGCGATGCCTAAGAAGAATACCTGACATTATGCGGCAAGACAAGATCATTCATACTAAGATACTGGAAAGAGCAGGTATCTGAACGGTTTTCTCAGTACTCAGTCTTCTAGGGTTCAGACGGCTAGGTTACATCTGGATGATGAAGGATGGTAGAGTGCTTCAGAACATCCTCTAAGATGAATGACAGATGTGTGTAGGATGTGGAAATACACATGTGACTGAAACACAGTTTACTCGCCTGCTGTTTGGTCAAGTCGATGCTCTGATGTTGATGATTAAACTGGTTGATATAGTAGGTTAACAAATCCAGTGAGCAATTATCATAGTTATATACAACTGACGTGCTACCATACATATTGATGTCAAATAAGAGTTCATCTCGCTTGTCATGTTTCGAGCTCATTGACGTGTCAATAGTAATAAATAACAGCACGAAAATGCCAGGCAGAAAGTAGCTGATGAATGTACCCAGCCAGTGATACTGTGCCACAATGTAACGTTTCACAAGTAATGTTTTTATCTGTGCCATCCACAAATAAACACCTTTTAAAGGCTGGTATCCTGAGTTAAAAGCTGTGAACAGAGACGCAGTTTTAAATCTGATTAGTTAACGAAAGACAATTTATTTACTAGTAATAAAAAGATTACATCATTTTTTTTTATTTATGTGCAATAACCATACAATTTTTTTGTCCTTCTTATTTAACATTAACATATCACCTAAGTCTATCAATAATGTCTTTGTCACTTAAAGGGTTTTGCTGCATCTTGAAAGATTGTTCCAAGAATTTTTTTTTTCCGATGCAAATGCAGAAGGAGTACATTCTAGATACTAAGTTCTACCGTATAGAACAGTTTCAACTGGAAACTTTGCAGTTACCAATTAACATGGAGTTCTTTTTGGGTGGGTCAAATAATGTAAGACGGGTTTCCTGAATATGTGTATACCCACAAACCAAACAATAGATAGCTCACACTGCCAGCTAGCCAAGTCCATCCATGTATCCATTCATGAAAACAATAACACAGTCTATCACCTGCAACCTACTGCGAGCAGTTTCAGCAGTATTTGTTGTCTCGTTTTTTTGTGAGTGTGCCAATTATATTGGCTAAGAAGTGTTAATTACACCAAAACGAGGGGCTTGGATCAGTACTCTAGTATCTGATGACTACGACTGCTACCATTAGTATTTGAACTTTGCTCTGGCTCCTGAGGTTGGGGACAGAGCGCGCATGGGAATGTCCCAAGGTCTGTGATGTCACCTCCTAACTCCACTCAACTCAACTCCAGTATCAGAGGAGAGTTTTTTGGCTATAGGGATGGGCTGTACCTAAACAAACAAATTATTGTGAATGGCTGTTTATTTATCAAATATAATGTCACAAAATTAGTTTTCAACTAATGAGACATACACTGATGTTTACAGACTAGACAATATGACACATGATTCTGGAGCTTTGTTTCTGGTAGTCGAAATGCTGCCAAAAATCCATTTAATTTCTCTGTTTAGTTTTTATTACTCACAGGGTTCAATCTTTTTCTGCAAATATTTGTTCTCCGAAATAGCCTTCCCATTTTTTTTACTATTTATTTTACATAAATAGGAAGTAAGGGGAAACAAAAAACTCCAACAATCTGATAGCTCAGATATGTATACTTTTTTCCGAGTGATATCTACAGTTCAGACAACGAATGCATTTAAAGTCCGGGCACAGTGATGACACAAAAGACAATTAGCAGTTATTTTTCATAAAGATCCAGTGCGCATGACCTTATATCTTCCAAGAAGGGGTTATTAATGCAAACGTGGCCTTTACCAGGATCACGATTTTCAGGTCCATTATTACCAACGTTATCAGTTCATCATTTGCTGGTTAAGCACTAGGATGGCCATAGCAATGCAAAGATTGAACAGGCTAAAAAGTCAATGGTTATGCACCAGCAAGGATATAAAAATTAGAATTTCTAGAGCATGCATCTTTCCTGTAGCAACATACGGATGTGAATCGTGGACTATCTCTCAGTCCTTAAGAAAGAGAATAGGGGCTTTTGAGTTGAAATGCTAAAGAAAGATTCTCAGAATATCTTGGACGAAAAAGAAAAATACTGATATCTTGAAAGATCTGAACATCAAGGAAGATTGGCTAATAAACAGCATCCTGTCTCGGGAGCTGAAATATTGTGGTCATATCAAGCGACACGACGGATTGGAAAAAATTTATAGCAGAAGGCATGGTACCAGGAAGGAGGGGCAGGGGCCGACGATACGAAGATGGGCACAGGATATAAATGACTCCTTGAGTATGAAAGTGCATGAGGCGGGAGAACTGGCGAGAGACAGAGTTTCTTTCAGGCAGACTGTGATAAGAGCGACCTTCTGCAAAGGACCTGCTACATGATGATAATAATCAGTTCATCACTGAAAATCTGGCCGATTAAGTTAAATCATATTCTGGTTGAAGTCCGCAGAAATATATATTTAAAAAAAATTCTCTAGTTTGCGATTGTCTAAGGAGTCACCTTTGCGGAGCAGCTAGACGTTCGCCGCGGATCGAAAGGTTGTGTGTTCGCTCTCTGGCGGAGCCAGACTTTTTTTTTTTTTTTTTTCAAAAATGACCTTGGCTCCCAGGTCGACCCAGCCTTTAATGGGTACCAGGTGCCGTCCCGTCTATAAATATAAGGTCTAGCCCTATATGCCCTATAGCCTAAAGGCGTGGACAAGGGACTTTTACCTACCTTTTTGTGATATCTTGCAATTTCTTGCGATTATCTTAGACAGCCTAAATTTTTTTTAAACATTTTCATTTTTGGTGTAAAAATAGTCATACAAGTCTTCTAAAAAGAAAGATTAAGTTCATTAAGGAGGCCCTATAAACAATAAAAAGAACTCCATACGGAGAATGCACACCAGGGGTCCACTGGTCATCCGTAGAGATCCTTCGTCGAACATTTCTTTCGGCCCATTGCTTCCCTAAACAATCTCGTAAGGGGGGCTGACTTGGGTCATGCAGCCAGGCCCTAATTATACCCTGCTGCGCTTCACTGGACTCGATAGGTGCTACGAGATTTGGTATCGCTGCGGAAGCAAATTAGGAGGAGGAGGAGGAGGAAATTATAACTACAAATGAAGAAGAGAAAAGAAGACAAAGAAGGAGGAGAAGAATTATAATAAGGAAAAGGTATGGGATACTGATAGAACATTATTTATGAATCAGCTTTGTTCAAAGTGCTTTGACTGTTCCATGAAAGCAGCATCTGAAACTGGACACTCACCTAGAATATTAGGCTCTTGGCACGCGCCTCTGGACTTACTGGGTAGGCTCGACTTCCCACCCTCAATGTTGACAAGGTCTTCGTCAAAGCCTTCTTCCTCTGCTGACCTGTATGTTGCAAAATGATTTTTATCAATAAAACGATCAGTTATTAGCAACAGATTCTTGATGTACACAACGAATTTAGAATGTTTATGTTGTTAGAGAAGTAACTGAATTGCACATTTGCAACTTTATACGATGATTAGAATCTGAGGTTCATGTAAAAAAAGGACATATTTTAAGTGGTATGGGAGGTAGTTTAAAAAAAGGGGTGGTGGCATATCATCACAATATCTATTTGCAATAAAAAAATATATGTGCGTTTATGTCTCTCCAGAATCATATGTCATGTGGTCTTCATCATTCTCCCAAAGCAAATTTCTAAGTTCATTTTTCTGCCTTGAAGCTTTTACTCTTCCTGGTTGTCATGAACCTCGATGGGTAGAAACAAGTAGACCTTGGTATATTAGGCACATTCTGAAGACGTTGTGCGTGACCGAAGAGGGACAAAACACAACGGATCTGGAGGAGACAACCTCAATAAAAAAATAAAAAAAAACCTAAGCCTACGATGGACCTACGTGCCTATAGGCTGAATGACTGTGGGTTACACAGCCGTGAACGTTGAACGCCTGGTTAGCAGGTGGGGTGGCGCTGGGCGTAGGACTCCATCAGGACATTCCCTGCCTTTTCCCAAGCAAGCAGGCAATACTAGGGTGACCGTTTAATTCCTGCACTGAAAGATTTTCTGTAGATTTTGTATTGAATAATAAAAAGAATCATCGCTGGAGCGGTTGAGTGCGTGCTGTATGCTTGATACCATCTTCAGGTGGCAACGGAGAGAATTAAAAAGACAAGGACATGGAGAGGGGAGAAGGCATAGAAATAGGAGAGCAGGAGCCCGAAGAGGCAGGAGCAAAATCGAGCGTCTTGGATTAAAGCATATCAGAGTGGGTTACTGGAACTGTCATAGTGCAAAGCAGAGAGGACCTGTACTGGAGAGACTGATTTATGACTTTGATATCATCATGCTGCAGGAATTAAACACAGATGGATATGAGTGTCCTGGATACATTAGTTACATAAATCCTACTGGACTGGAAAGACTTGGACAATGTCTGCTGGTGAAACATGTTTTGAAGCATGGGGTTCTTGACCTGGGCCGGTGAAATCATAGTACACTAGAGGTTCAGAATTACAGAAAGTGCGAAAAGCATCTCACAGGTAACAAGAGGATGTAGAGAGGCTAAAAAGTTTTAGAAAAGAAAAAGTAGAAGATTTCAAGCGTTGTGCTGCAGATGCAAAAAAGGCTAAATGGGTAAATTTCATGAGCGACACTGGAGGTGATATATCACTGGGTAGGTTTTGGAGACTTCACCGACGCAAAGGAAGGATCGACCAATTATAACAGATATACACTGATAATGATATACCAATGACAACAGACAAGGACAAAGGGGAATCATTTTTGAAGAGATTTATAGCCCAAACTGATCATAATGAGAGGGAGCTTAAATATTCATTAAGAGATAATCTGTATAATACACACACACACACAAAATTATAATTATTTTGAGGATATTATAAGGGTAGAGGATATATGTTCTTGCATATAGGCAGGGGAAAGATAGGCGACGGATAGCTCACGAGCCACCGGCAACTGTAGACAAAGTGACTAGTGTGCAGAAATGGGTGCTGTGATCAATTCAGAAAAGGTAGCTGTTTTGAAGTGCTCTATGGACAATAGAACTGTAAAAGCTAATGTCGCTTGGTGCAACAAAGCCTGGCATATGATATCACAACGCCTAGTTTGAGAGTTGAGGCGGAGGCAGTCGTTGCTGCCTTCCGCTAGCTTGAGAATCAGCTGTACACACATGTCATCATTGTAACTGACTCACAGAGCATGCTGAGAAGGGTATGCTCGGTGCAGAGTGGCAAGCATCACTTCAGAGGTCCAGGGTAGTTAGCATCCTTTGGATATTTTCTTCAGCTAATGCGGGTGTGTTAGGGAATGAGCAGGCGGATAGACTAGCCGGTTCTGCACCATCTGATGGTGAACTGATGTATGACAAGCTAAATGTTGTGAGGGCCGTTTCGGAACGAGTAAACAGTGCCGAGAAACAAATAGGTCATTGCGGTCTGAGGAGTATGGCACTGCGAGGAGTTACAATGGGATCTGGCCGACGCTCGGCACTTAGAGGAAAGGCGAGACGGATATACAATCAGACAGATACAGGTACCATCGGAATTTTAACTTG